AGACCAATACATATGCTGCATACAAGACACACACTTCAGACCTAAAGATGCTCACAAACTGAAAGTGAAAGGATGGAAAAATATACTCTATACAAACGGCAATGAAAAGAAATCTGGGGTAGCAATACTTATATCAGACAAAACAGACTTTAAAACAAAAACTGTAACAAGAGACAAAGAAGGGCACGACATAATGATAAAAAACACAGTCCAACAAGAGGATAGAACACTTGTAAATACATATGCACCCAATATAGGAGCACCTAAATATATAAAGTAATTATTAACAGACATAAAAGGAGAAATAAACAGTAACACAATAATAGTAGGGGACTTTAACACTCCACTTACACCAATGGATAGATCATCCAAACAGAAGATCAATAAGGAAACATTGGCCTTAAATGACACATTTGACCAGATGGACTTAGTAGATATATATAGAACATTCTATCCCCAAACTAAAGAATATACATTCTTTTCAAATGGACATGTAACTTTCTCCAGGATTGATTATATATTAGGCCACAAAACAAGTCTCAATAAATTTAAGAAGATCGAAATAATACCAAGCATCTTTTCTGACCACAAAGGTATGAAACTAGAAATCAACTACAGGAAGAAAATCAGAAAAGCCACAAAAATGTGGAGATTAAACAAAATGCTGCTGAACAACAATTGGGTCAATGAAGAAATCAAAGGAGAAATAAAAAAATACCTGGAGACAAATGAAAATGAAAATATGACATGCCAAAATCTATGGGATACAGCAAAAGTGGTTCTAAGAGGGAAGTTTATAGCAATTCAGGCCTATCTGAACAAACAAGAAAAATCCCAAATACACAATCTAACAGTGCACCTAAAGGAACTGGAAAAACAATAATAAACAGAGCCCAAAATCAGCAGAAGGAATGAAATAATAAAAATCAGAGCAGAAATAAATGAAATAGAGCCTAAAAAATAAAATAGAAAAAATCAATGAAACCAAGAGCTAGTTCTTTGAAATGTAAACAAAATTGACAAACTTTTAGCTAGACTTCCCAAGAAAAAAATGACAGAAGGCTCAAATAAATAAAATCAGAAATGAAAGAGGATAAATTACAATGGACACCTCAGAAATACAAATGATTATAAGAGAATACTATGAAAAGCTATACGCCAACAAATTGGATAATCCATAAGAAATGGATAAATTCTTAGACTCATACAACCTTCCAAAACAGAATCAAGAAGAAAGAGAGAATTTGAATAGACCAATCACCAGTAAGGAGATCAAAACAGTAATCAAAAACCTCCCCCCGCCCAAAAAAAGTCCAGGACCAGATGGCTTCCCTGGTGAATTCTACCAAACATTCAAAGAAGACTTAATACCTCTCCTTCTCAGACTCTTCCAAAAAATTGAAGAGGAGGGGAGGCTTCCTAACTCATTCTATGAGGCCAACATTATCCTGATACCAAAACCAGACAAAGACAACACAAAAAAAGAAAATTACAGGCCAATATCACTGATGAACATCGATGCAAAAATCCTCAACAATATACTAGCAAATCAAATACTACAATACATTAAAAAGATCATACATCATGATCAAGGGGGCATTCATTCCAGGGATGTAGGGATGGTTTAAGATCTGCAAATCAATCAAAGTGATACACCACATTTACAAAATGAAGAATAAACATCACAAGATCATCTCAATAGATGCAGAGAAAGCATTTGACAAGATACAGCATCCATTTATGATAAAAACTCTATAAATGAAATGAGTATAGAAGGAAAATACTTCAACATAATAAAGGCCATATATGACAAACCCACAGCTAATATCATTCTTAATGGAGAAAAACTCAAAGCTAGTCCTCTAAGAACAGGAACCAGACAAGGATGCCCACTTTCACCACTCTTATTTAACATAGTATTGGAAGTCCTAGCCAGAGAAGTCAGGCAATAAAAAGAAATAAAAGGCATCCAAATTGGAAAAGAAGAAGTGAAACTGTCACTATTTGCAGATGACATGATTTTATATATAGAAAACCCCAAAGAAGCCACTAAAAAACTTTTAGAAATAATAAATGAATACAGTAAAGTTGCAGGATACAAAATCAACATACAAAAATCAGTTGCATTTCTATACACTAACAATGAAGTAGCAGAAAGAGAAATTAAGAATACAATCCCATTTACAATTGCAACAAAGAGAATAAAATACCTAGGAATAAACTTAACCAAAGAGGTGAAAGATCTGTATACTGAAAACTATAAAACATTGCTGAAAGAAATTGAAGGGGCCGGCCCAGTGGCACAGCAGTTAAGTTTGCATGTTCTGCTTCTTGGCGGCCTGGGGCTCGCCGGTTCGGATCCCAGGTGTGGACATGGCACCGCTTGGCACGCCATGCTGTGGTAGGCGTCCCACATATAAAGTAGAAGAAGATGGGCACAGATGTTAGCTCAGGGCCAGGCTTCCTCAGCAAAAAGAAGAGGACTGGCAGTAGTTAGCTCAGGGCTAATCTTCCTCAAAAAAAAAAAAAAAGAAAGAAATTGAAGAAGACACAAAGAAGTGGAAAGGTATTCCATGCTCTTGGATTGGAAGTATTAATATAGTTAAACTGTCCATACTTCCTAAAGCAATCTATAGATTCAATGCAATCCTTATCAAAGTTCCAACAACATTTTCCACAGAAATAGAACAAAGAATCCTAAAATTTATATGGAACAACAAAAGACCCTGAATTAGCCAAAGGAATCCTGAGGAAAAAGAGCAAAGCTGGAGGTATCACACTCCCTGATTTCAAAATATACTACAAAGCTATAGTAACCAAAACAGCATGGTACCAGTACAAAAACAGACACACAGATCAATGGAATAGAATCAAGAGCCCAGAAATAAATCCACACATATATGGACAGCTGATTTTTGACAAAGGAGCCAAGAACATGCAATGGAGAAAGGAGAGTCTCTTCGATAAATGGTGTTGGGAAAACTGGACAGCCACTTGCAAAAGAATGAAAGTAGATCATTATCTTATACCACACACAAAAATTAACTCAAAATGGATTAAAGACTCGAATGTAAGACCTGAAACCATGAAACTTCTAGAAGAAAACACAGGAAGTACGCTCTTTGACTTTGGTTTTAGCAGCATATTTTTCAAATACCATGTCTGACCGGGCAAGGGAAACAATAGAAAAAATAAACAAATGGGACTACATCGAACTGAAAAGCTTCTGCATAGTAAAGGAAACCATCAACAAGATGAAAAGACAACCTAACAATTGGGAGAAGATATTTGCAAAGCAGATATCAGATAAGGGGTTAATATCCATAAAATATAGAAAGAACTCATACAGCTCAACAACAAAAAAACCAACAAACCAATTAAAAAATGGGCAAAAGATCTGAACAGACATTTCTCCAAAGAAGATATACAAATGGCCAACAGGCACATGAAAAGATGTTCAACATCATTAACTATCAGGGAAATGCAAATCAAAACTACAAGGAGATATCACCTCACTCCAGTCAGAATGGCTATAATTAACAAGACAGGAAACAATAAGTGTTGGAGAAGTTTGGAGAGAAGGGAACCCTCATCCACTGCTGGTGGGAGTGCAAACTGGTGCAGCCACTATGGAAAACAGTATGGAGTTTCCTCAGAAAATTAAGAATAGATCTACCATATGATCCAGCTGTCCCACTGCTGGGTCTTTATCCAGGGAACTTGAAAACACAAATGCATGAGGTTGCACGCACCCCTATGTTCATTGCAGCATTATACACAATAGCCAAGATTTGGAAGCAACCTAGGTGCCCATCAAGGGATGAATGGATAAAGAAGATGTGGTATACATACACAGTGGAATACTACGCTGCCATAAGAAATGATGAAATCCAGCCATTTGTGACAACATGGATGGACCTTGAGGGTATTAAGATAAGTGAAGTAAGTCAGAGGGAGAAAGTCAAATACCGTATGAATACACTCATAAGCAGAAGATAAAAACAATGATAAACACATAGCAACAGAGATTGGATTAGTGGTTACGCGGTGGGGGAGGGGGACTAGGGAGGAGGGAGGAGTGCAAAAGGAGTGATTAGGCACACGTGTGTGGTGATGGATTGAAATTAGTCTTTGGGTGGTGAACATGATGTAATCCATGCAGAGTTCAAAATATATTACAATGTACATCTGAAAGTTATATAATGGTATAATCCAATGTTACTGCAATAAACAAAATAAATTTTTTAAAAAAGAGTTGTGGGTTGGCCATGTTTCTTTGAAATGCTATTAGATATGCAGATGGAGATGTTAAGTGCTGAGTGAGACACACTGGTCTGGAGTTCTAGGACAGGTCAGCACTGGAAATGCAGATTTGTGAGTAATCGGATGGGATTTAAAGCTGAGTCCAGACGAGCTCACCTGGGAAAGTGCCAAGTGAGAGAAGTGACCAGAAGGCAGAGGCGGGAAGGAGGGTGAGACCAGCAGCCAGGGAGGCAGCGGCGGGCAGAACCTGATGCCCTGCGGGGTGGCCTGTGCCGCTGCTGCTGGGGCAGGGGGATGAGGACGGGGAAGCGGCTGGGAGGCCACACTGCGGAGCTCAACCGTGGTGCTGCAGCATCCATGAGGGGAGTAGAGAGAGGGTCAAGGACAACTTGTGAAATGAGAAAGGAAAGGTGAATTTTTCAAGAACTTTTAATACTTCAAGAAGCAGAGAAATAGGACAAGAGCTGTGAGGTGAGTGATTTTCCTGTGACAGGTACCATGCCAAAGATTTCGTAAGAATGTAATCTCATTTGCTCAAATGTTTCCGCTTTAAAGATAGAAAATGAGACACAAAGAAGATAATAAATTGCCCAGAGCCAAGCAATTAGTAGAGCTGGGGTTTGAACGTAGGCTTCTGGGAATCCAGTATCCTTCAACTAGCTACACCTTTTAGCAGTCAGTACACCACTCCTGTATGAAGAGATCATTTAGCTACATTTTCTAATGAATAAAATATGTATGCTTGACGATAATATTTATTTGAGAATTATACAGCAAAATGCCAACATGGTATAAACTGTAGAGACCTTTAAAGATATCCAGTAAGATTGGCTTTGTCTTTTTTCCTAGAGAAGTACTAATTATGCAGTATCATTTCAACTTCAACAGAACTCCTGAGAGAAAATGAGCAGAAAGAAGAGAAAGATCACAGTTTTTATACATTATGCTGAGAAATAAGAGACCTTCCCACGTGGTGGCTAATCCAGTCAAAATAATTGGCCACTTTGGTGTAAACGCCTGGAAAGTCTGGTCTTCCACACTTTTCACCCCAACTCACGACACCCCAAACATAAGTCACATTGTTGGCATCCTGACAGACTAAAGGACCTCCAGAGTCCCCTTTACAGGCATCGATGGAACCGTCCACTGTACCTGAGAAACACAAAGGGAAAAGAAAACCACACATTTACTTCCATCTGTCAAGGCCGCCATGCTGACTTCCTGCTCTTCCACCAGCGTATGTGAGGACCTGAGCTCCCTCACGCTCTCCTGACAGGAAACACCATGAGCTCACCCTCCCAGGCTCCCCAGCCCCTGGAGCAGTAGAGATGCAGGCTGGGGAATACTTTGTCTTCTGTTCATTCTCCACATTTAGCAAGTGCTCTCCCTGCCTTCTCTGCTTAATGCAAGTATATACTGTGATGAGATTGCCATCTGGAAGTAGCATCAGATGCCAAGAGGGCGAATAATAGCAACTCCTAGTGCTTATTGACTGCTTGATATCTACTAGTCATTCATTGTTTCAGTCCTTAACACAAGCCTGTGAGTTAAGTATCATCATTATCTCTATTTGAAGATGAGACAAATAAGGCACAGAGGGCAGACTAACTTGTCCAAGGTCATACAGCTAATAAGTGGCAGAGCCTGGACTTGAACTCAGGCAGCCAGACCTCAGAGCATGTCCTCGTTCTGTGATATGGCCTCCTGGGAGATTTTGTGCTCTTCCCTTGTTTTGTGCTCTGTAATCCTGAGCTCCATTTTAAGATGGGAGGGCACAGAAATGGTCTGTTTACTTTCTTCTCACTCTGATGACTTTCTAAGATTTTTAAATTGCTGTATCCAAGAAGTTATAGGATGTCTTTGTCTGTAATACACTATTTATAAGTGGCTCCAATAAAGCACCCTAATGGGACTGGCCCCATGGTATAGTGGTTAAGTTTGCATGCTCAGCTTTGGTGGACTGGGGTTTGCAGGTTTGAATCCTAGGCACGGACCTCCACACTGCTCATCAAGCTAGGCTGTGGTGGTGTCCCATATACAAAATAGAGGAAGACTGGCACAGATGTTAGCTCAGCGACCATCTTCCTCAAGCAAAAAAAAGAGCAAGATTGTCAGTAGATGTTAGCTCAGGGCCAATCCTCCTCACCCAAAAAAAAGAAAAAAAAATCATCATAAATGCACTGCCCTGGCTGATACCTGCCTTTGGGTGACCACTCTAAGAAGGAACTGCTGTGGTTGGGTTAGGTCAGGCCCTAGCATTGCTGTGACATAGACACAGTGGCAGGCAGCGTAGACGTGCAATGGGATTTCCGAAGAGGGAGAATTTACTTCCACTGGACGCATTGGAAACGAGATCATTTGGCGTTTTATTTGGAAGACGTTAGGGTGTGATCCTGGATATACCACTTGTCTCTAAGACTTTAGGCATGTGTAACTGCTCTTCATCTGTTTCCTCATCTACTAAGATCCTCAGTTTTGCAGATGAGGGAACTTGCTCCAGGTCACATGAGTAGTAATTGCTAAAACTGGGCTGTAAGTCCAGGGAGCCAGGCTCCAAAGTCTGCGCTGTTTGTCACCTTGCTATCCTGCTGTTGAACAGCTTCAGGAAGCTTTTCCTCTTAGTCTAAGAGTGAAGGAACTTGAGCGGAGGGGCAGGACCGAAAGAGTTTGATGCTGCCACAGCCAGAGGGCAAATGCAAGGTCCAGGGCCCAGAGCAGGGGCTGATCTGGCAGGGAGAGGAGAGGTGTCTATAGACAGGCAGGATATATGTATGTATTTCTCTTTGGGAGAAACCAGTCGGTGCTCACCTGCACACTCCATTTCTTTCTCAAAGTAGCGATTCGGGTAGAACCTGGAGCAGTTGCTGATGAGATGCACCTCACCCCACCTAAGTGAGTAGACTTTTTGATGATCTAAACAAAGTGGGAAAACAAATAGACATTCAGAAGTCACAAATGAGGAATCTACAGAAATACTCATCATTTAGTAAACTATTAGCAATATATAAGAATCTATATATTCTTTAACACATATTTATAAACTTTCGAGGCTAATTAATTAGCATATTTGATCATTCACTGCTCATGTCCCCAGTTTCTATAATTGTCTTTCTAAAAGTAGTCAAGGGGCGTGATTGAACGTAGGTCTGACGTCATCCTCATTTACTGAGAGCTGGGTCGCACCTTCCCCTCTGATTGCTGAGTGCGTTGGGGGAGTTGGGTAGGAATCAGGGCCCAGGGGCTTCTCAGAGAAATACCTCCTGTCTTCTTAGAGTCCCTTCTTTCCAGGAAAGTGCGTGTTAATGTTAAAACAACTTCTTAATGTAAGAAGGTAAAATGAAGAAAATACCCCTGCAGTTATCAGCGTGTGTGTGTTTTTGTGTGTCTGTGAGGAACTCCATCTCCTAAGGGATTTGAACATGATTTAAAGAGGATTTAGGATTTCCCTTCCATTGAAGTTAGCGATTTGGGACTGGCACATTTTTGGTCCAAGGACAGAGAAGGGCCAGGTCCTGTTGCTGATTGACAGTTCAGGGAAGGTGGGAAAATGCTAAGAATACAGGGTGCCATGTCTCTTTGCCCATCCCTGTCTTCCTTTCCCAGTGTGCAGCAGTGTTTCTGCCCTGGGAGGGCGGAGGCTGGCTCTGACTCCTTCACTGCTGCACCACACCCAGCCTCATGGGGCACAAAATAGTTGCTTAATAATATTTATGTAATTAATTAATCCATGAACTCAGTAATTCACTTTACACTAAACGTTTCATGCCAAATGACTTAGCTTCTCAATGACTCTGTAAACTACCAGGGGACAGAGACCTCTGGCTTATCCTGAGAGGACACCCCACACTCCCAGCACTGTGGTGAGCACATGGTAATTACCTGTAGAACTAACGTTCTTGTCTTCTGGGAGGCAGAGGGAGACAAAAATCCACCATAGTGTATGGCAAAATCAGGAAAGAATTTCTTTTTTTCTGCTTCAAGTGCTAATTCAAATTAGTCTTAAGATGGCTACCTTCTTCCAGATAAGAGCTTTTTAAAAATTAGTAATTTATTACTTCCCCTAACTCAGGAGAAGCCTTTAAAACTGGGAGCTCCTGTAGTGTGTGAGCAATTTTTAATGACTCAGGGGATTGCTCCCTCCCCTGAAATGCCCCTTCTGGTAACGTCTCCTTCCCCCATGCCTTTTGTATCCTCCTTGAGACACTCGTCACATGCTGCTGTCTGATGGTGGCGTTCATGTCTGACAGCTCCTCTGTACTGAAAGTGCCTTAAGAGCTGGCCTTTGTCTTTCAGCCTTGTAGCCCCTGCACCCCTTGTTTGTTGGCTGGGTCTGCGAAATCCTAGCACTTCAGCATTACTATCTTGCGGTCACAGTAAGGGCTCAATAATGTGTTAAGCCATATCTGATTAATAAATAAAGCAATGCATCAGAACATGTCTACCAGTTAATAGAAAATACATGAGATAGAAGAACATGTTAAATGCCACATCGAGGATACAATCAGCCAAATTCAAGATGTGGAAATTCTAAAGGAAGGGGTAACTGTTCTGGATTAAAAGAGTTTTATGAAAAATAGCCAGGACTTGCAATGTGGACTTTCTTTGGATCCAAATGGAAATAATCTGATGGTAAAAATATTTTGTAAATAATTGAGGAATATTAAACATGAGCTGGTTATTATACAATATTATAAATCACTTTCATTTTATTGTGTGTGAATGATAGTGTGTTTTGTTTTTGTTTTTTAAGCCCTTGCCTGCTTAAGATACTGGAGTAGTCATGGGTGAAATTCCATGATAACTGGGATTTGATTTAATATACTCCAGGAAAAAATAAGTGTGTGTTGGCTGGGGATATGTCGAATAGCTCCTGATCATCCTTCAGACGCATTACCCACCCATCAGTGCCCTGCTCCCTGCCCTTATAGCCTGAGTGGAGGAACTGCCTCAGTAGGAAGCCCTTAGCCTCTGGTTTCCAGCTGGTTTCCGGCAGAGGACCCCAGCAGAAGGGAAGGCAGGAAGGAGAGAGGAGGTGAAATTGGGGCTGGCTGTAACCAGCGACCCAAGGTCACTGCTCCTCTCAAGGCAGCCTGCTCTATCTGAAGCTCGTTCACCTTCTACTAATGTCTCCTTCCCCTTATGTCTTCAGATCTAGGAGAGGTCCCAGCTCTGGTACTGTTAGTCCTGGATTCCTGCATAGCCCTTGTGGTTCCCCAAGCCCCCACCCGCATCTTTGTAATTAACCCCTTTATAAATAAACCTTCCTAACTATCCTATCCTATCCTATCCTAATTATCCTATTTCCTATTCAAAGAGATAAAACAAGATTGGTAGAATGTTGATAACTGTGGAAACTGAGTGATGAATAAGTAGGTTTGTTATACTTTTATCTTTGCTTTTGTATATACTTGTAAATGTACATAATAAAATTTTCAAGAAAAATGGAACAAATATAAGGACATAATGCCTTCCGGATGAATTAAGTACTAATAAAATTTAATATTTTGTAAGTCTTGGTTATTCAAACATACCACAAATCCAGGTTAATTTATACATATATTTTATACTTTCCAATGTAGCAATTATAAAGAATGTGTTGGAATACGAGTTTATAAGACCAATGCAGTAAAGTTATTTACAAAGAGAGCTTAAGAGGTCAAAAAGAAGCTAAATTTTGGGGCCAGCCCAGTGGTGCAGCGGTTAACTGCACACGTCCGCTTTGGTAGCCTGGGGTTCGCTGGCCCGGATCCTCTAAAGTAGAGGAAGATAGGCATGGATGTTAGCTCAGGGCCAGCCTTCCTCAGCAAAAAGAGGAGGATTGGCAGCAGATGCTAGCTCAGGCCTAATCTTCCTCAAAAAAAAAAAAAAAAAAAAGCAGCTAAATTTTCAGGCTAACTCTTCAAGATGAGGGGAAACACATAGGCTGATTTAATTCTAATCTCAGCTGTAATTTACCAGGTCTTTTTAATAATTTGTCCCTAAGCATCCACACCTCTTATGCATCTGAATGTCCACCTCAAGTCTTCTTAGAAGCTTGAGGAATGAATTCTTTACATTCCCTTTGCCTTTGTGGGATGTGGGGGTGGGGCATGGAGAATGGGGGGTCGGGGAGGGGAGAGAGAGCGCAGAGGGTTGTGGGATCACTGACTCAGCAGATCCTGTACTATCCCTTTGAAACCTTTTTATTTTCCAACCACATCTCTCCAACAAATCTGCAAAGTCCCTGTCTAGGTTCCCCATCACTCCATGTTTTTCTTGGTGAATAGTTCCCTCTCAATGTATGCTTCAGGATCACAGAGTGTAGGTGTCCTCTGAAAGTCTGGATCAGGATCAGCTAAACAATTTGTGGAGCCCAGTGAAAAATGAAAATGTGAGGTGGGGCCTCTGCAAAAATTATTAGGAATTTCAAGATGGTGACAGCAGAGAAGTAAACCAGGCACAGGGCCCTTCGGTCCTAAGCCTATCAAGCCAGCCCTGGCTGGATGCTCACTTTTCTGGATTTGATGCTGTGTTTCTCTCTGACCACTAGATTAGCTCCTATGCATTTCTATTGCCATTCTTTTTCAAGCACTGGATTCTGATGAATAAATTGTAAAACTTATACCTTTTTCTCGACCCCAGCCAGAAATGATGCATTTGTCATTAGGTCGGAATAGATACGGAGACCAGGGCACACAGGCGGGGATGGAATTAAGCAGCACACATTCTTTTTGGTTTGGGCGTTTTTTCAATTCAATCAAGGCGATGTCATTTTGGTAAGTGGTTCCATTGTAGCCTTCATGGATAATAATTCTATTTGCCCATTGAATGCCTATTTCAGAGTTAGGTCTTAACCAGTCTACTAATGATGTCCATATTTGGTAACGGTGAACTTTACTGACTCTATAACAGAAAGGAGAAAGGAAATAAAATATATTGAGAAAAAACCCAACTATAAACACAAGACTTCTGATGCTTCAGCCTTCTCTTCTCCCTTTTAAAGAAACTTTTTCATTTTCTCAGATTTCTTTTTATCCTTGTTGTCATGAAGCATGCAGTTAACTTTACTTAGGGCAGAATTATGGTCAACGGGTAAATGAAGAGAGGAACAATCCATCTAACTGCTCAATATCAGGGACACACAGAACTCACTAACAACCAGAGACGCCCAGAAGTGCAACGAGTCGGCCGCCTCTGGAGTGACAGCACTGGCAGTGAAGGTGTTGAAACAGAGACCAGACAGCATCTAGCCAGAAAAGCAGGTGAGGAGCGGGGAGTCAGAGCACAGCCTCTAGTGACTCTGCTGACCCCGGAGGGTCTCAGGGTGAAGACCACAGCAGTCATCTTCCTGACCTTTCAGACTGACTTCATCCTGACATCGTGGTGTATTAATTGTTCCCAAGACTTTCCTCCTGTGAGACTGTGCCACTTGAAGTCACAGATGGGGTCTTATTCATCTGTGGATAGATGCCTGAGCCTAGTATTGTACGTGGAACATAGTAGCTGTTTTAAAATCTGACTGAAATGGTGAATGAGCTAAATATAGCCAGTTCTCATGCCTCACTCCATTTTCATACCAATTTTCACCTCATAGTTTCCAGCAAATCGGGCATCTACCATCATTTTCTCAGGTAATCACCCTACGGTTAAACAGTGATGTCCTAGTTCCTGATGAGGTGTCAGGATGCTTTTATTGTACCTAGTGTCCCCAAAATGCTGTGCTTCACGTTTAGTTTTGGTTGTTTTCCAGGATCAGATGGCCTGAATATTGCTTAAAGGTTAGCCCTTTTATCCATTCAATTTACTCAACAAATACTTAATGTGCACCTGTATTACCAGGCACGGTGCTAGCTGCTGGGATGAAGAAATGAGCAAAATCAGAAATAGCTTGTGCCTTCATGGAGCTTGGGGTCTAGGGCAAGGTGCAGCATTAAGTGGATCATCACTCTGATGAAGATATGTATTCTACTGTGAAAAGTGAGAGGGACGAACAGCACATGGGGTTCCGAGAACCTATCGAGAGGGCTGTGACTTAAGGGAGTCAGGGGAGCTTCTCTGAGGAAGTGAAGACTGAGCTGAGATCTGACTAAAGAGCAGCACTAACTAGGGAAACAGGGCAGGGAAGATCATGCAAAGGCGTAGGAAATGAGATAGGAAGGTCTCTTTGCAGCAGGGGGCAATGTGCACGTTAGTAGCTGAGAGAAGTGCAGAGCGGGACCAAGAAGCGAAGCTGTGGGGCAGGAGGAGATTGGCAGGGTATGTAGGGGTCAGATCTTATGGGGCCTGCTGGGCCGTGTTAGAAGGTTGTTTTGTTTTCCATCCTAAGAAGAGTACAGAGCCATTGAATTTTAAGTTTGAGTGGTCAAAACCAGGTCTGGAAATAATTACCCTGCTGCTCAGTAGAGAATGGATAGATGGGGCAGGGCTGGGCAGGTGAATGTAAGTAAGCCAGTTGGTATAATCCAGAGGAGAGGTGAAGGCAGGGTAATGGTGGAGATGGAAAGAAGTTTTGAGAATTAAATCATTAGAAATTAAAAATGCCATCTCGAGTTGGTGGCATATTGACTGGGCTGTGGTCGGGTTGAGGAAAGTGAACTGCGATGATTCTTAGGTTTCTGCCTTGTGTAAGCAGATGAGTGGAGTCGTCATTTCCTGAGATAGGGAACACTGGGAGAGGACATGTTTGGGGTAAGGGGCATATCATGAGCTGAGTCTTAGACATTTTGAATTTGATGTACTTTTGATATAGCCAAGAGGTACTGACTGTAGGGTCAGTGGTTGGAGGAGAAGTCCAGGCTGGAGATATCATTGTGTCAGCATGCAGTGGTATTTAAAGCACAGATAACTTAGAAAGAGAGAATAAGAAGAGAAGAGGAAGCCAGGCTAAACACTGAGGAGTCAAGGATTTCTCTTGAGTAATAATGCTCAGTCACAGGAGGAGGAAGCTATAAAGAAGGCAGAGAAGGTGTGGCCAGAGAGGTAGATGGAAAACCAGAGTGTTCTGTCACAGAAGCTATGAGAAGAGGGTCGTTCAGAAGGAAGAAATTGGATTTGGCTCATTGCTCCAAACCATGAGATTTTTATGGGTGTCATTCAACGTATTTAATAATTCAACATGTTTCCTATCCCTCTCAACATTGGGTCACCTGCAGACTTGCTAAGCAGGCCTTCATCTAAGTTACTGTCAAATACTGTCAAACTGAACTTGATTTTATCCTGGCTCTGCTACTGACTAGTAGTGTAGCTTTAGCCAAGTCATGTAACTTCTCAGTCTCAGTCTACTTATCTACAAAATGGGAAGAATAATATTTACCTCTTAGGACTGTTGAGAATATTAAAAAATAACACATGTGAATGTGCTGGGCACAGTATCTGGTCTGTGAGAGGTGCTCAATAAATGATGTTTCATTCATTCTAAAGGTCAGAACTGAGGCCAGAATCCTGAACTCTGTCCTCCTCCAAGCTGACCTTGAGTCATTATCAACACCTTTTGAGTATTGCTCTTCAGCCCCTGTTATGGATTGAACTGTGTTCCCCTAAAATTCCTGTGTTGAAGCCCTAACCCCCAATGTGGTTGTATTTGGAGATGGGGCCTTCAAAGAGGTGATTAAGTTTAAATGAGGTCATAAGAGTAGAGCTCTAATCCACTATGACTGGTCTTCTTATAAGATTAGGAAGACACATCAGGGATGCACGTATGCAGAGAACGGGCCATGTGAGGACACAGCAAAAGGACAGCTGTCTGGAGCCAGCCCTGATGGCCTAGTGGTTAAAGTTGGGCAAGCTCCGCTTCAGTGGCTCGGGTTCAGTTCCCAGGCATGGAACCATACCACCCGTGTGTCAGTTGCCATGCTGTGGCAGTGGCTCACGTAGAAGAACTAGAAGGACTTACGACTAGAATATACAACTATGTACTGGGGCTTTGGGGAGGAAAAAAAGAAAAAGAGAGAGGAATACTGGCAACAGATGTTAGTGTTCAAAGTGAATCTTTCCCAGCAAAAAAAAAAAAAAAAGGACAGCTATCTGAAACCAAGGAGAAACCAACCCTACCAGCACCTTGATCCTGAACTTCTAGTCTCTAGAACTGTGAGAAAATTAATTTCTGTTGTTTAAGCCCTGCACTCTGTGGTATTTTGTTATCGCAGCCCCAGCAAATTAACACGGCCACTTATAACTCTTACTGGCCCTGCATCAAAACTGTATTTCCCATCTGCAGATAATTAAGAGACATCTTGTCACATGCCAGTGCTGCATCCAGACACACTATGCCTACCCCACTTCTCTGACCTGAGAATCTCAAAACCCTGTCAAAGGAGGCAACGACAAGACTTAGTCTTCATCAGACAAGTCTCCTCCACCAGCTCAGCAGGCTAATCCCTCAGTGATTCATGGTCCATCAGCCAGGACTTGCTGCAGCCCGAGGAACTTCCAAAGAGCAAAATGCCATGTGAGTGGTGTCCCCTGGATGGTGCAGTGCAGGGCCCAGGCCACAGCTCTGCATCATGTACCATGTAAGCAGTTTATCCAGAATCACACAGCCAGCAGCCAGTGCTGGAGCCAAATGTGAGATGATGGCATGGAGCTTTGAACAGTTCCTTTCTTGCCTGGATGGAATACATATCAAATCCATTTAAGGGTCATGGGTGGGACAAAATGATGTGTTTGGAGCTTTGAATGCCTGTGGCTCTTTAAACAACATCGTCGTAGAGGTGAGATCAGAGAAAATGCCAGCTTAGTATTATCTCTGTATAAACTCTTCATACATAAACTCTCTCCAACAGTGTGGTCCTAGCCCTACAAAATGCAAGTAGTCCCTACTTGCTTTCCCATAATGCAAAGGACCCAAGTGAAGTCACTTGGTCCCTACAGGTTTGATCTGTCCCTGGCAGCTGGATCAACAATTTGGTTTGCACCCAACACAGTAGGTTCTGGGCGATTGGTCTTTGGGGTCCCAATCATGAATGTCAGAGGCTGTTTAGCAGTTAATAGAGTGGAACCTGCCCATGACTTTCTCAGATATGTTTTTATTTACCAGCTGCACAATCTGTATTACCCATTTTCATTGTTTCAGGAAATCCAAAATCTGTTTGAGACATTCTTTACCTGACACAGTGTGCAGCAGTCAGAATCCAACAGCCACCAATATAAATTCCTCCACAGTTGATTCTCTCAGTGACATCCTTAATCGCCACCTGCCATGGGAAGTCTCCCTGTAAAAGACATTTGTGTGGTCACTGCCCTTCTACCGCACAGCAATACGAACAGGCGGTTCTAAGACATTTCCATCGCAACACTCCCGTCTCTTATAATTACATATCCCCCCTTTTTTCCCAAACTTGGGCTGCTCCTCGGAAGTGACGTCATGACTCTTCCTGCAGGTTTACCACGTGCGCCTCCTGTCCTCCCACGACTCGTTTTCTTCGAACGGGAGAGCTGTTTTTAACTCCACAGGATAGTTTAGGGGAAAAGGACTTTATCCATTTTCTTTCTTCAAGAAAGGAAGAGATTGTATCGTTATGATTTTGAACCTGTTACCTTGTGGGCAGACACTTCTTATCTATGCCCCCCAAACAGAGTCACAGCTAATGAGAAACTATTTTGGATTCGTTAGTAAACTGTTTTGGATGTTAAACTGTACCATTCACCTTGTTTAAAAACTCTGGCTTAATATTAAAATTGGCTTGATTCTCTGAAGTTCTGCCTAAAGGTGGACTGGTGGCAGAAAGAGGCAGGCCGAGGGGTTAAACATTTACCTGACGCATGCCACATACCCAGGCATTTCTGCCGGGACAGCTCAGGATGGGGGTTCACTTAGGGGAACTCTAACTTCTCACTTTCATGGTTTTAACTTTCTAGAAGCTGTTCACATGGGACTCTTCAATAATATTAATATTAACATTAGCGATGTTAATATTGAGTACTTTCTATGTGTCAGGCCCCATGCTAAGTACTTTGGATATAGTTTCTCTCATTCAGTCATCATAGTAACCCTAAGAGGTAATGTGCCAGGGACCCCCGGACAATCTAGGATCGGGGGGCCAGGAGGGTGGTGTGTTTGTAGCCACTGACGTGTGATGATGTTTCCTTCCTCTGTGAGCATTCAGACCTGGCACGTTTGTCACTGGGAGAACGTGGTAGAGCAAGGCTTGAATTTGCAAGACAATTCATGACAAAGGAAGAAAGTAAAATAAAGATGCTCTCCTTACTCTCTCTCTATATTTTACCATGTCATGAAAATTTTTGCAAACTTGCTTCTTAGCCCCAAATGTGAAAGGAAAATTATTATCACTGTCAATTACTTTGAACATATAAGGAGGAGGTAGGTCCTCAAGGGAGAAAAGCTGTGAACAAATGTGGATAGAAGACTTTTTTGGGTCCCACTCATCCTAAGAACAGGTTTCGGGGAAGGATGTGATGGTAAGTTTTAAATTTCTGCTTGGACCTTTGAAAGAAGAGAGACCTCATCTGTTGAGGACTGTGGAACCAGCTTGGGTAGTATCTGAAAATTTATGTCATCTTAAGTAGAAAATAAAGGGCCTTTGTTGAAAATCCCTTCTTACAAATATCTGTAGCTTTGAGACCTAAATCTTTCACTTGTTGCCTGATTTTAAAAAATGTTAATTAATTTTTGGGGCCTGGCAGTTAGAAGGCAGTCTTATATGAACTTCAGTTTAAAATCCCCCTAAAATAAGGAGCTATTTTATGTCCAGTTTGTATTTGAGCTTAAGTTACTCACCTAAGTTTACATAGCTAATAAATAACTAAGTCAGGATTTAATGCAAGTCAGTCTGACCCAAAAGCACTTATCAATTACTGTTTTCCCAGGGACTGAACACTTTAATTAAATTTGGCCCTTAGTGCACCACTAGCCAGGATACAGATCTTCACAGACCTTCTGTTATCATGGTTTAAAACATTACAAAAGAACAGATTAATTCAGTTAAAATCTATTTTTTTCCTATTTCAAAATGTATGTCCTGAGTCACGCTTGAAATCTAGTTGTGTTCAACAAAACTGACCTGACAAAGCTCATAACAAATAGAAAAACTTTATGTAGGCCTAGAGTATTGTTTTTCTTCAAAGTTAGCCATGTGCAGTAACCCACTTTTAAAAGCAGTTCTCAAGAAGCATTTAATGCTTGTTTTTCTTCGAAGTCATAAGGAAAGGAAGAGAATAGTGTTGTTTTTTCTATTAAAATTGATATCAAAGGTCATTGTTGCTCGAATCAATTATATTACATACATGTACACACACACACACGCACGACATGAAAATGCAAACTTAAACCAGTGAACCACTAGTAAAAATGAACAATGTTGACTCACCTGCATCCATATCAGCAGTCAAAATTTCTTCTATAATAAAACAAAAGATCCAATGTTTAAAGGTGTGTTTATAGTAAAAATTAAATCATTAAAATCGTTTAAACTTTGATAATAATTTTCTGTCTTAAAACTCGTTCTCCCTTGAAAAACGACAGTACAAAATCCCCAAAGCACATCGTCCTGTTTCCTTACTATAGCTTGGTAATTGTGAAGGCTCAAGATGAACTGTGTAGAAATTTTGCAGCACAAACTAGCGGTGTCTGTTGGTATAAGCCAATGGTGAGACTCCTGGGGCTGCAGTTTTCTGCATTTAGAGAAGGCAAAATGCCCAGGTCAGAGAAGGAAAGCTCCTCTTTCAACTTTGCATTCACAAGGTCTTTACATAAGGGAGGGCACAGTCACCAACACTGACCAAAAGCGTCCTGAGCCGCCATTAAAAAGGCTCCTCTCATTTTGCACATAATAAGGCACCTCTTACAGAGGTCGTGCAAACAAAGATATCTCATTGGTTTCAGGATTAGGCTTGGTTAGTATTAGGCATCTAGGCTGCAGAAGTCAAAAGCACAAAAACAAAAACAAAAAAAAATTTTTCTTCCTTTTTCCTTAAGACTTTTGCGTGAAGTTATATGGGATGATTCCATCTTCGTTCTGCTGTCCTAGAACATGTCAGTCATGGACAGGATCATGATTTCTTTGATCTGGGGATTCAAAGGTGGAGTCTTGCCAACATGCTACTCTGTCTTGGGTGAGGCTGCAGCCCAGAAGGGCAATGTTACTTTGCTGCAGCACTCCTGTGTCTCGTCCCTGGATTTCCCAAGTTCTTTTGGGAGAGGCCTGCATGTAGCTGTCATGCCACAGACCTAGGTTATTTTCTGGGACAGAGAGAGGCTGTGCTCAGAGCTTTCACAAAAGCACCCTCATGAATCAGAGAGAAGACGCAAACATTCATATTAAATGCTCCACAAAGGAAGATGGGGAAAGTCCATTGTAGCTGAGGTGTACTGGAGGTTAGAAGAGCAGCACGAGTTCCAAAAACACAAACCGTAAGAAAAACAATCAATGACTGATTATATAAAGATTAAGGATTTATATTCAACAAAGCTTACTATGGATAAAGTTAATAGACAGGTGACAGAGTGGAAGATGGTGTTTGCAATGTCTAAAACTAAAAAGACATTAATACCTAGAAGGCAAATCAACAAGAAGCCTGTATGAAATGAGGCAAATGATGTGAACTGGGGAAAGTAGAGGAAAAAAAAGGAAGAGGAAACTCAAAAAACTAATATGCATATGAAGAGAAACTCAAAATCATTGGTTATTAGAAAAATTCAAATTAGCAAACAATACCATATCACTTGACAGTATGAGACCAGCAAAATCAGAACGCTGGATAACACTAAATGTTAGTGGGGGTGAAGAACCCTCAGGCATCGCTGGTGGAGGCGAGGACTGGAACAGCTCTGCCAAAGAACATGCAGGCACTAGTCAGTCAAATTAAGTAGATGCGTAACCCAAGAGCCAACAATTCCTTGCCCACCTAGATATCTCAGAGAAATCCTCCCCACACATCTTTAAGGAAACGATGTTCATGGCAGTGTGATTGTGATAGTCCATTACTGAGAAAGTAGAGAGTGAACTGTGAAAGGTGAACACCACAGAGTGTTTTAGGCAGCAGTCAGGAGCAATGGATTAAATGGACACATAGCAACATGGACAGGTCTTTAAAACATAACGCTTTGTGAAAAGAAAAGGGAAATTTGAGATTTACAACACAATATAATGTGAATTAAAAATGTATGCTCACAAGATAACAATTACACTGGATGAGAATATGTATGCATGTTAAATCACATTAAAATGGTTGCCTATGGGGAATGGAGGTAAGGTACAGGGATGAAGGAGCATAAATAAAACAAGAGAGGGGCCTTGTCTGGACCAACGACGCTCCTGTGCAATGAGCTGAGAAGTTTCATTAACTTGTCTATTTGCACCTGAGGTCTGAAACCAACGAGGAAGGCAGGGAAAGAGGGAGGGAAGAAGAAAAGGAAGAAAGATGGGGACAAAAAGAACAGCAGCCGTGGAGGGCAAAATGACAAGAGCCAGGGAATACAAGGAAAGAACTGAGGTTAGGCATTTCGAAAAGGCTGATCTTGTGCATATAAAAGTTCCCCAGGAATCCTAAGAAATCCTGAGGAGGACCATGGACTTCTGGTAGTTATTTTATATGAATAATAAAGAAAAGAGTGGCCCTAAAGAGCTGGAGGATTTGGGGACATCTGAGTACAAACGCAAATAAGAAAATACCTCTCATGAGAAAGTGTTATCTTTCCTCTAGTGGCAGTTTCTTTAGGAGCTGCATTGGTTTTGAGGAAAAAGTAAAGGAAGAGGAAAAGGGTATTTGGCAAAGGTGAGATGCCCAGGGAATGCTCCCCTTTGGGTGGTGATTTTTGGTTAGCAGTGTGAGAATAAGTTTATCCCATTGTGAAAAGGGCCTCTGAGCCTGAACTAATGTTAAAGCTGAGTTTTTGGTAACAGATGGTCATATCATTCTCAGCTGGTAGCTACAAAGCAACAACAAACACATGGAGAACAGATGGGTGGTACCAGAGGGGAGCAGATAGGGGAGGGCAAAAAGGGTAAAGGGGCACATTTGTAGAGTGATGGATGGAAACTAGACTATTGGTGGTGAACACGATGCAGTCTATTCAGAAGCTGAAATATAATAATGTACACCTGAAATTTACACACTTATAAACCAATGCTACTTCAATAGAAATAAATAATAGTATGTGGGAAAATGTAGTTACATCAAAATATAAGAAGACAGGAGTACCTTTGTTTCAATTCTGGAATATCCCAAGAATTGAATAAAATTTTTACCTTTAGCAACATGTAAAAAGTCTGGAAAAAAAACCAACCCAAAATTTACCACAGCAAAGGTTAACTATTATTTGAGAAAAATGCATAGCATATATCAATACTGAACATATATCATAAAAGCTATAACACCTTATTCTTGTTTTCAATTCTGTAGTATAAATTTTATATCATAAAAATATATTTACCTTTCATTTCAGGACGTTCAGCTCCTGAAAACAAAACAAAACAAAAAACTCACTGTAGCAAAGAGATATTTTTCACTTGAATAAAATATATAAAAATCATTAATATTTCAGAAATAGTATAATAAACTAACATTTACAAAAAGGTAAAAGGGAACCACAGTATGCCATCTTACTTTACTTGTTAATACTGCATAACAAAAGTTTCATCTCACATTTAAACACACACCAATTTCACCGCAGCAAGGAAATCGTTTTAACTTGAATTTTAAAAAGAGATTCATATTTTAGACAAATTTGAACACACAGCCAAAAGCACACTTACTATACAGCTATATAGAATTTATAACTCTTTTTAACTTATGTTAATAAAAGGTGGGCTTATAAGTGATAAATGAAACCAAGATATACTCCAAACATGCCTTGAGTTATTGATTCTGATCTGTCCACTCAAAGGAGAGACCAATGAATCTATTAATGTATTCATTTTTCCTCTCTGCTCTCACTGGCTCTTTCTTCGAGAGGGAAATACTAGAAGAATTACTGAAATATGAAAGGCAGAGCTCACGCTGAAGAAGGGTAAAGTGAGGTGACAATGACAGTTGACTCAATATATTTTTGATATGGATGCAAGAAATTGATGTACCATTTGCGACAACATGGATGAACCTTGAGGGTAATATGCTAAGTGAAATAAGTCAGACAGAGAAAGACAAATGCAGTGTGATTTCACTCATATGTGGCAGATAACAAGCAAACACAGATATGGAGAACGGATGGGTGGTTACCACGAGGGAAGTGGATTGGGGGTGGGGGGACGGGGTTAAGGGGCACATGTGTATGGTGATGGATGGAAACCAGACTCTTGGTAGTGAACATGATGCAGTCTATATAGAAGTCAAAATATAATGATGTACACCTGAAATTTACACAGTGTTGTAAACCAATGTGACCTCAATAAAAAAATAATAATATGTGGAAAAATAGTTACATTAGAATATAAGAAGAAAGCAGTACCTTTGTTTTGTGCCAACTCTGCAATATCCCAAGAATTTAATAAAATTTTTACCTTGATCCGCACGTAAAAAGTCTGAGGAAAAAAAACAAAAAAGAGCATCATAGTGGAATGAGTTGCTCCCTTAGTCTCTGTCCTGTAAGTTACAATGAAACAGACATTCCTTAACCAACAGAGGATTCCCTACACAGCACAATAGGATGCCTGAGAGGTTCATGCAGCCATACATCTGAAGGTGGGAATACTGGATCCCCGGGAAACAGTGGAAGGAGGTGAGAAGATCCCTTCCCCTCCCTGGTGGCAGTGATCTCGGTCATGGGTCCTCACACAGCAGCCAGCATGTGAGCATAAGAGGAGGCGGGAGTTGGGGCAGGCAGGCCTGTGCACCAATGCTTGTGCTTTCGGAGTTGCAGCAATGCCTGTAGGAATGCCCACCATACCACGGCAGCCCTGCCTGTGGGAACACTCTACATTGAGCTCAGGTGAACTGCCCACAAGTGCAGAGCAGGCCCGCATGCATGAAAGAAAGTGCCCCTCCCCTCCTACCTAATGCATCAGCTCAGCAGGTCCCCTGCCAAGGCAGCGGTCCCACACCAGAGTGCCTGGGGGGTGCGTGTGTGACCCACCAAGTGGCTGCAGCCACTGGGAAAACACAGAGGACCGCTACTGGTAGAACTTCAAGTAGACACAGTGGGTTCAACAAACACAGCTCCCGCCCTCACCCCAGGGGCGGCAGGTGGAATCCGTGAGCTGATATTACTACAAATGCCTCGGTAAAGGATCACATCATCAAACACCATGATAAACTACAGTAACACTTCAGAGGAGAAGGAAGATGACAAGTCTTCAGAAACCAATCCTGAAGTCACAGAAATTTACAATCTAAATGATAGAGAATTCCCAACATAGTTGTCATAAAGAAACTCAACGAGTTACAAGAAAACTCAGAAAGACAGTTCAATGAGCTCATGAATAAAATTAATGAGCTGAAGGAATATTTCACCAAAAAGATTGAAACTCTAAAAAACAAAACCCAAAGAGAAATTCTGAAGATGAACACAATGAATGAGATAAAAAGACAATCTAGAATCCTTAAAAAAAACCACAGAGCTGATGTTATGAAGGACAGAATTAGTGATTTATAAGACAGAAATACAGAAATTCTTCAGGTGGAGGAGGAGAGAGATCTAAGACTTAAAAAAAGAAGAAGAAATTCTTCCAGAAATATCTGACTTAATTACGAAATGCAACTTAAGGATTGTAGGTATTCCAGAGGTAGAAGGGAGGGAGAAAGGAGCAGAGAGCTTGTTCAAAGAAAGAATACCTGAGAACTTCCCAAACCTGGGGAAAGAACTGGACTTACAAGTACATTAAGCCAATAGAACTCCTAATTACATCAATGCAAAAAGACCTTCTCCAAGGCATATAGTAGTAAAATTGGCAAAAGTCAATGACAAGGAAAAATATTAAATGCAGCAAGGCAGAAGAGAATAATCTACAAAGGAACCCCTATCAGGCTTTCAGCAGACTTCTCAGCAGAAACCTTACAGGCTAGGAGAGAATGGAGTGATATAGTCAAAATACTGAAAGACAAAAACTTTCAGCCAAGACTACTCTATCCAATGAAACTATCCTTCAGAGATGATGGAGAAATAAAAGCTTTCCCAGATGAACAAAACCTGAGGGAGTTCATCACCACTAGACCTCCCTTACAAGAAATGATGAAGGAAGCCCACCTACCTGAAACAAAAAGGCAAAGGTTTACAAAGCCTTGAGCAAGGAGATAAACAGACAGACAAAATCAGAAAATTGCAGCTATCTATCAGAAAAGGTTAGCAAACACTTAACTATAACAGGAAAGATAACAGGAAGGAAAGCATAAAAAATAACTATAAACACTTCAATTTAGTGACAAACTCACAACACAAAACAGAATAATTTGTGACAATAATAACTCAGAAGGGGGAGAGGAAAGGGATGGAACTTGCTTAGGCTAATGGAGATAAGAGGCTATCAGAAAATAACTATATTATCTACGAGATATTTTATACAAACCTCATGGTAACCACTAAACAAAAAATCAGAGCAGAGACACAAATCATAAATAAAGAGAAAACCATCACAGAAAACCACTAAACTGTGGGGCTGGCCTGGTGGTGCAGTGGTTAAGTTCGCACATTCCACTTCTCAGTGGCCCGGGCTTCGCCGGTTCGGATCCCACGTGCAGACATGACACTGCTTGGCACACCATGCTGTGGTAGGCGTCCCACATATAAAGTAGAGGAAGATGGGCACAGATGTTAGCTCTGGGCCAGGCTTCCTCAGCAAAAAGAGGAGGACTGGCAGTAGTTAGCTCAGGGCTAATCTTCCTCAAAAAAAAAAGAAAAGAAAAGAAAAGAAAATCACTAAACTGAAATGGAAGTCAGAAATACAAGGGAAGAGAAACAATGGAAATGTAGACCAACCAGAAAACAAGAGATAAAATGGCAGTATCAAGTCCTCATATATCAATAATCACTCTAAATGTAAATGTATTGAATTCTCCAATCAAAAGACACAGAGTGGCTGGATGGATTAAAAAATAAGGCTCAACAATATGTGGCCTCCAGGAAACACATCTCAGCTCTAAAGACAAACACAGGCTCAGAGTGAAGGGATGGAAGATGATACTCCAAGAAAATGGCAAGCAAAAGAAAGCCGGTATTGCCAGACTTGTATCAGGCAAAGCAGACTTCAAGATAAAAAAGGCAATGAGAGACAAAGAGGGGCAGGATATAATGATAAAAAGGACATTCCACCAAGAGGATATAACACTTATGAATATATATGCACCTAATACAGGAGCACCAAAGTACATAAAGCAAGTATTAAGAAACCTAAAAGGAAGTATTAACAACAACACAATAATATTAGGGGACCTCAATGACCCACTTACATCAATGGATAGATCATCCAGACAGAAAGTCAACAAGGAAATAGTGAACTCAAATGAAAAACTAGACCAGATGGACTTAATAGATATATAGAGAACATTCCATCCAAAACCAGCAGAATATACCTTCTTCTCAAGTGCACATGGAACATTCTCAAAGATAGATCATATGTTGGGAAACAAAGCAAGCCTCAATAAATTCAAGAAGATTGAAATCATATCAAGCATCTTTTCCAATGCTGTGAAACTAGAAATCAACTATAAGAAAAAGGCTTGGAAAGTCACATATATGTGGGGACTAAACAACATGCTACAACCATTGAATCAATGAAGAAATCAAAGGAGACTCTGGAGACAAATGAAAATGAAAATACAACAAAACAACTACTATGGGATGAAGCAAAAGTGGTCCTAAGAGGGAAATTCATAGCAACACAGGCCCACCTCAACAAACAAGAAAAATCTCAAATAAATAATCTTAAATTACACCTAATAGAACCAGAAAAAGAAGAACAAACAAAGCCCAAAGTCAGCAGAAGGAGGGAAATAATAAAAACTAGAGGATAAATAAATGAAATAGAGACAAAAAAAAAAAAAAAAAAACCAGTAGAAAGGATCAATGAAACTAAGAGCTGCTTCTTTGAGAAGATAAACAAAATCGACAAATCTTTAGCCAGACTCACCAAGAACAAAAGGGAGAAGGCTCAAATAAATAAAATTAGAAATGAAAAAGGAGAAATTACAATGGATACCATAGAAATACAAAGGATTATAAGAGAATACTATGAAAAACTATATGCCAACAAATTGCATAACCTAGAAGAAACTAATAAATTATTAGACTTATATAACCTCCCAAAACTGAACCAAGAAGAAATAGAGAATCTGAATAGACCAATCACAAGTAAAGAGATTGAAACAGTAAGCAAAAATTTCCTAAAAAGAAAAAGTTCAGGACCAGATGGATTCTCTGGAGAATTCCACCAAACATTCAAAGAAGATTTCATACTTATCCTTCTGGAACTATTCCAAAAAATTGAAGAAGACAGAATGCTTCCTAACTCCTTCCATGAGGCCAACGTTACCTTGATACCAAAACCAGACAAGGACAACACAATGAAGGAAAATTACAGGCCAATATTGCTGATGAACACAGATGCAAAAATCCTCAATAAAATATTGGCAAACTGAAAACAGCAATACATTAAAAGGATCATACACCATGATCAAGCGAGATTTATACCAGGGATGCAGGGATGGTTCAACATCCACAAATCAATCAATGTGATATACCACATTAGCAAAATGAGGAATAAAAATCAGATGATCATTTCATTAGAAGCAGAGAAAGCATTTGAAAAGATCCAACATCCATTTATGATAAAAACTCTCAATAAAATGGGTATAGGAGGAAAGTACCTCAACATAATAAAGGCCCTACATGACAAACCCACAGCCAAGGTCCTACTTAACAGTGAAAAACTGAAAGCCATCCCTCTGAGAACAGGAATAAGATAAGAGTGCCCACTCTCACCACTCCTATTCAACACAGTACTGGAGGTTTTTGCCAGAGCAAGTAGGCAAGAAAAAGAAAGAAAAGGTATCCAAATTAGAAAGGAAGAAACTCTCACTGTTTGAAGACAACTTGATTTTATATATAGAAAATACTAAAGAATCCACCAGAAAACTATTATAAATAATAAAAAGCTACAGCAAAATTGCAGGGTACAAAATCAACATACAAATATCAGATACATTTCTATACGGTAATAATGAATCAACAGAAAGAGAACTCAAGCATACAACCCCATTTACAATTGCAACAAAAAGAATAAAATATCTAGGAATAAATTTAACCAAGGAAGTGAAAGACCTATACACTGAAAACTATAAGACATTATTAAAAGAAATCGAAGTTGACATGAAGAAATGGAAAGATATTCCATGCTCACAGATTTGAAGAATAAACATAGTTAAAATTTCCATATTACCTACAGCAATCTACAGATTCAATGCAATCCCAATCAGAATCCCAGCAACATTATTCATGGAAATAGAAGAAAGAATCCTGAAATTTATATGGAACAACAGACTACAAATAGCCAAAGCAATCCTGTGTAAAAAGAACAAAGCTGGAGGCATCACAATCCCTGACTTCAAAATATACTACAAAGGTAGAGTAATCAAAACAGCATGGTACTGGCACAAAAACAGACACACAGATCAACAGAACAGAATTGAAAGCCCAGAAATAAAACCACACATCTATGGGCAGCTAATCTTCAACAAAGGAGCCAAGAACATACAATGGAGAAAGGAAAGCCTCTTCAATAAATGGTGATGGGAAAACTGGACAGCCACATGCAAAAGAATGAAAGTAGACCATTATCTTACACCATACACAAAAATAAACTCAAAATGGATTAAAAGACTTGAAGATAAGGCCTGAAAACATAAGACTCCTAGAAGAAAATATAGGTACTACACTCTTTGGCATCGGTCTTAGCAGCATCTTTTTGGATACCATGTCTACTTGAATACCATGGCAAGGGAATCAAAAGAAAAAATAAACAAATGGGACTTCATCAGACTAAAGAGCTTCTGCAAAGCAAAGGAAACCAGGAACAAAATGAAAAGACAACTTACCAACTGGGAGAAAATATTTGCAAATTGTATAGCCAATAAGGAGTTAATTTCCAAAATATATAATGGTCTCATACAACTCAACAATAAAAAAACCAAACAATCCAATCAAAAAATGGGCAGAGGATGTGAACAGACATTTTTCCAAAGAAGATATACAGATGGCCAACAGGCACATGAAAAGATGTTCAATGTCACTAATTATTAGGGAAATGCAAATCAAAACTACAATGAGGTATCACCTTACATCTGTCAGAGTGGCTGTAATAACCAAGACAAAAAATAAATGTTGGAGAGGATGTGGAGAAAAGGGAACCCTCACACACTGCTGGTGGGAATGCAAACTGGTGTAGCCACCACAGAAACAGTATGGAGATTTCTCAAAAAGTTAAAAATAGAAATGCTGTATGATCTAGTTATCTCATTACTGGGTATTTATCCAAAGAACTTGAAATCAACAATTCAAAGAGATTTATGCTCTCCTATGTTCATTGCATCGTTATGCACAATAGCCAAGATGTGGAAGCAACTCAAGTGCCCATCAACTGATGACTGGATAAGGAAGGTGTGGTGTATATATATATCTCTATATAGATATATATACAGTGGAATACTACTCAGTCATAAAAAACAACAAATTTGTCTCATTAGCAACAACATGGATAGACCTTGAGAGTAGGATGTTAAGTGAAATAAGCCAGACAGAGAAAGACAAACACCACATGATTTCACTCATATGTGGAAGATAAACTAACACATGGGTAAAGAGAACAGATTAGTGGTTACCAGAGGGGAAAGGGTGGTGAGGTGAGCGAAAATGGTAAAGGGGCACATATGTATGATGACAGATAAAAATTAGTCTATTGGTGGTAAGCATGATGCTGTCTATAGAGAAACTGATAAATAATGGTGTACATCTGAAATTACATGATATTATAAACTAACATGACCTCCATAAAATAATTGAAAATAAAAAGAAATATAAAAAGAACAAACCAAAATTTACCACAGCAAAGGATAATTTTTATTTGAGAAAAATGTATAGCATATGTCAATATACTGAATATACATCATAAAAGCTATAACACCTTATTCTTGTTTTCAATTCTGTAGTATACATTTTCTATTATAAAAATAGATTTACCTCTCCTTTCAGAATGTCCAGCTCCTGAAAACAAAACAAAAAACTCACTATAGCAAAGAGATATTTTTCACTCGAATAGATATACAAAAATCGTTAATATTTCGGAAATAGTATAACAACTTAAATTAACATTTACAAAAAGATAAAAGGGAACCACAGTATGCTATCTTACTTTACTTGTTAATACTGCATAACAGAGGTTTCATCTTGCATTTAAATACACACCAATTTCCAACAATAAGGAAATCATTTTAACTTGAGTTTTAAAAAGAGATTCATATTTTAGACAAATTTGAACACACAGCCAAAAGCACACTTACTATACAGCTATATAGAATTTATAACTCTTTTTAACTTATGTTAATAAAAGGTGGGCTTATAAGTGATAAATGAAACCAAGATATACTCCAAACATGCCTTGAGTTATTGATTCTGATCTGTCCACTCAAAGGAGAGACCAATGAATCTATTAATGTATTCATTTTTCCTCTCTGCTCTCACTGGCTCTTTCTTCGAGAGGGAAATACTAGAAGAATTACTGAAATATGAAAGGCAGAGCTCACGCTGAAGAAGGGTAAAGTGAGGTGACAATGACAGTTGACTCAATATATTTTTGATATGGATGCAAGAAATTGATGTACCATTTGCGACAACATGGATGAACCTTGAGGGTAATATGCTAAGTGAAATAAGTCAGACAGAGAAAGACAAATGCAGTGTGATTTCACTCATATGTGGCAGATAACAAGCAAACACAGATATGGAGAACGGATGGGTGGTTACCACGAGGGAAGTGGATTGGGGGTGGGGGGACGGGGTTAAGGGGCACATGTGTATGGTGATGGATGGAAACCAGACTCTTGGTGGTGAACATGTTGCAGTCTATACAGAAGTTGAAATATAATGATGTACACCTGAAACTTAACGTTATAAACCAATGTGACCTCCATAAAAAACAGTATGTGGAAAAATAGTTACACTAAAGTATAAGAAGAGAGCAGTACCTTTGTTTTGTGCCAACTCTGCAATATCCCAAGAATTTAATAAAATTTTTACCTTTAGCCGTACGTAAAAAGTCTGAAAAAAAACAAAAGAAACCCAAAATTTACCACAGCAAAAGATAATTTTTATGTGAGAAAAATGCATACCGTATGTCAATATACTGAACATATATCATAAGAACTATAACACCTTATTCTTGCTTTCGCTTCTGTGGTATAAATTTCCTATTATAAAAATAGATTTACCTTTCATTCCAAGATGTTCAGTTCCTGAAAACAAAGCAAAAAACTCACTGTAGCAAAGAGATAATTTTCACTTGAATAAAATAGACAGAAATCATTTATATTTCATAAATAGTGTAACAGCTTGTTAAGGCTTACAAAAAGATAAAAGGGAGCCACAGTAAGCTGTCTGTCTTTATTTATTTATTTATTTAGTATGAAAAAGATTGGCCTTGGGCTAGCATCTGTTGCCAGTCTTCCTCTTTTTGCTGCAGGAGGACTGTCGCTGAGCTAACGTCTGTGCCCATCTTCCTCTATTTTATATGTAGGGTGCTGCCACAGTGTGCCTGATGAGCGACGTGTAGATGTGCACCCAGGAGCTGAACCTGCGAACCCAGGTCACCGGAGTGGAGTGTGCCAACTTAACCACTATGCCATGGGCCAGCCCTTTACTTTGCTTTTTAATACTGCATGACAAAGGTTTCATCTCACATTTAAACACACATCAATTTCACCACAGCAAAGAAATCGTTTTAACTTGAGTTTTAAAAAGAGATTCATATTTTAGACAAATTTGAACACCTACCCAACAGCACACTTACTATATAGTTATACAAAATTTATAACTTTTTAACTTAGACTGATAAAAGATGGGCTTATAAATGATAAATGAAATCAAGACATTGGTTTAGTGACTGCTCTGTACACTGAAAGGAGAGACCAGTGAATCTATTAATGTATTTATTTTACATCTCTGCTCTCACTGGCTCTTTCTTAGAGAGGGAAATATCAGCACAGTTACTGAAATATGAAAGGCAGAGCTATGCTGAAAAGGGTAAAGTGAGGTAACGACGACAACTGACTAAGTGTATTTTTGATATGGATTCAAGAAATCAATAAGAAAAGTAAGCTTTATGTGGTAGTTTCTTCCTAGCAATAGGATTTTTTTTTCCCTGGTAAACTAACAAATTGTGCTCTTTGATCTTAAAGTTTAGAGTTTGAGTCAGGAGGAGAAGGAGGGGAGGGAGACGGAGGGGCAGGAAGAGGAGGAGAAGGAGAAGAAACCTCCAAATATTATTATACTGAAGAAGCGAAATCAAACCACAGAGCTTCAGAGGAAGACACAGCCTGCATGATCTCGCGTTTATGTGGAATCTGAAAAACCAAACTCATAGAAAAGGAGATCAGGTTTGTGGTTATCAGAGGCAGGGTTTGGGGGCGGGGAATTGGGTGACAGCAGTCAAAAGGTACAAACTTCCGGTTACCAGGTAAATCTGTCCTGGGGATGTGATGGACAGCATGGTGACAACAGCCAACACTGCTGTATGGGAGAGTTGAGAGGTGCTAAGAGAGTAAATCCTAGAAGTGCTTATCAGAAGGAAAAGAAGAACTTTCCTCTTGAAACGATACGGGTGATGGATGTTAACCAAACTTATTGTGGTAATTATTTCACAGTATATGTGTGCCAAGTCGTTATGCCACACACCTTCAACTTATACAGCGCTGTATGTCAATTACACCTCAATAAAACTGGGTGGATGAAAGCTGTGGAGCATCACCAGTGAAAGTTGTGGGTTACTGTCCTTCTACCTGAAAAACTTTTTGAAATTTCTTTCTCTCCTCTCTTTAATAAGGATTTAACCACATTTAATGAACATAAAAGTATTTTGCTCAACTGCTTCCACGCCCTTCAAAAGAAATGATATGAGTTGAAATCCAAAAAGTGTGTTTTTTAATTTGAGAACTGATATCAATGGGAAATTAAACAAAATTTTAGTAAAGTCAAATACTTGGCATACCAAGAAATGCCAAAATATAATTAACATCAATTCATTTATCCATACTGTCTTCAACATTTATTTAATGCTTATGTGTAAGGCACTTTACCTAGGACATTGGAATATGAAAATAATTAGGTAGATTCTGTTTTCAAGGTATTTACTGTTGGGAAGGGAAGGTAAGACAAGTAGAAAATGATGATAAACAGTTAATAGTAACTTGGCGGTGTCCTGACATGGACTCTGCCACCACACGATAGACTGTTGCGTCAGTTCCCAGCTTGTGTTCTGTGACATCATGTTAGCGGCTTGAAATCACCCATGATGGGAGTATTTATATGACAGAAGTTAGTGAAAGCTGCATGTCAGGGATCCCCCTCCCTCTCCCAAGCCAGCTGGTAAACGTTGACCAGCACGCCGCTGGAGACTTCCATCAATGAGGCGACGTAAGCACACCCGCGCCTCTTGCAGCCTTCCACATGTTTGTTGAAAGCAGCTCCATCCTTTCAGCTCTCAGGCCAAAATCCCTGAAGTCATCCTTGACTGCTCATTTGTTCTCACACTCCCATCCAATCTGTCAGCAAGTCTCTTTAGCTGTAGTTCAAAATATATCCAGAACTGACTGCTTCTCATCCTTTCCATTCCTACCAACTTATCCTAGTCACTATCATTTCCCACCTGGGTTGTGCAGTAGCTTCCTGACTGGTCCCCTTCTTCCCCTCTCCTTGTATAGCCTGTTCTGCACTCAGCAGCCCGAATAATCACTAACAGGCCTTTCTTGATCTGCCCTGAGCTCCCCACCCCAACCACCTCTCCAACCTCTCCTACTGCTTGTCCTTTGATGTCTCACGACCACCACCTGTAACAACTGCCACACCAGCTTCCTTGCTATTTGTTCCTCAAATGTACTGGGATGTTCCCATCTTAGGAACACTGTACTGGTTGTGGCCTCTGCCCAGAACACTCTTCTGCAGACATCTGCGTGGCTGGCTCCATCACTGCCTTTAGATCTTTACCTGAAGGTAACCTCAGTGAGTGAGCCTTCCCAGGACACCTTACCTAAAATTTCAGAACTTACCCCTAAACATTTTATATCTTTCTTCCTTGCTTTATTTTTCTTCTTAGTACTTATTGTTTTACTATATATTTGACTTATTTCTCATGTTTATTGTCTCTCTTCACACATTAGAATGTAAGACCTATGAAGGGGCAGGGATTTTTGAAAAATTATCCACTATTTGAACCTCAGCACCTAGAGGAGGGCCCAACACACATAGTAGGAATGTAAACACATTCGTTGAGTAAATGAATGAATATAATAACTTAGAGAGATTTTTCCTCCAGAAAGTACCGATAGGAGCAAGAAGTCAGTCTGTGTGGCACAAAGCAGGTACCTAGTAAACATTTTTTACCATTGGATGTTTTCTAATTAGCACCAAAAGGCAAAGAGCATCAACTCACTGCTCTGAAACTTAGTACATAAAGGGAAAGAATGAAAAATTATTCTGCCTTTCTACTATGAAGTGCATTTCATGAAAACAGAATAGTTGATGAAAGAAAGTTCTTCTATATAGAATTCCAGTTAATAAATGTGGAAGGAATGTTGAATTAGAAATGAACATTTTACAGTTTCTATCCACGAGGTGGATCTAGGCAACAATCAAAAAGACTGTTAAAAACCATTAAGGTGAAGGTTGCAGGGGGATGTTTTTAAAGGAGGCATCAAGCTGATCCAGTGATCAACCTTAGCATCTCCAGAAGTGGGACAACCAGACTTCAAGATGTTATATGTAATGGGAAGAACACAGCACCACCCATCTAGAATTCTTGCCTAAAATATTGAACTTCAAATCTAATCAAGTCTCTATAAATCCAGAATAAGGAACATCCTGTACGCAAATAACCTCATTTCTCTAAAAAAATCAATGGCATGAAAAAAACTGGGGGTGGATAACTCCTAAGGAATAAAAGAGACTTCGAAAACTTAATAACCAAACACAATGTTAGATTCTTTGGATTCTGATTCGAACATGTTAATTCTAACAATACATTTCCGAGGCAGTTGGGAAAATTTGAACATGGGCTGTTATTAAACAGTGTTATGGAATTATTATTATTTTTAGGTGCACTAATGAGAGAATGGTTGTATCTATGTAGTGTTTTTATCATTAGAGATGTATATAGGTGAAGTGACATGATAACTGAAACTTGCTTTAAAATAAACAAACAAGCTAAGCACGATATTGATAATTGTTGGGAGCTGGGTACCTATGGGTTCATTCTAATAGTCTGTCTATTTTTGTTATGTGGGGACTTTTCTAGTAGAAAGTTCTGAAACAGCGAGTAAATATTTAATAAATGAAAATATGAGAGAAGCACATTCGTAGTTCTTCAAATGCCCCCTCAGGAGTCTTGCTACTGCGGCACCCTCCTGGGGTCACTTAAGATTACAATTTACCGAAAAGAAAGTTTCAGAATTCTCAAATTGAATAACGAAAAATGTGCCCACAAAACTTAAATTACCTTCACAACCGATTTCATCTTCTCCGGTGATGCAGTCCACCTCCCCGTCGCACTTGTGCTGGTTTGGAATACAAACTCCCGACTTACAAAAGAAACTTCTCCCTCGGCACCCTACGCAGACATGAACAGGAGAGGGGCTGTTCTCACTCTTACAATGGAAGGAGAGGGAATCTCAAATTCAGTGGTAAAGCTGTTTCTACTTTTCTCGTCTGAAGAACGCTTTCGGGGGATGTAAGGGCTGACGTCCCTACCTTTACAGCACAGCTCGTCACTCTGGTCTCCACAGTCATTGACACCATTGCAGGCGTTCTTTCGAGGAATGTGTTTGCCGTTCACACACTGAAAGGACTCATTTTCTGGCAAAACTGTAAAGTAGTAATTATCTTTGTGAAATTTAGTTATGGAGTGTGGGTGACACCTTTCTCACATTTTTGCAAGAATGGGGACATTAAGATCAAGTCAAGAATCAAATAAAAAGTGATAATAAAATATATTGGTAACATCGACATAGTATATGTGGTTAATAAGGAAAATAAATGCCAACACTGCCTTGTGGAGGCCCTTTCAGTATCTCTGAAAGCCAGCATCTCTTGTGGAGGTCTGTGCTCGCTGGGACAGGGGGCCTCAGGAGCCAGGAGCCCTTGCTGATGGGCAGACGCCACGTCAGCCTCCCTCTCAGGCTGCCACACGGCTCTCCACTGGCCCCAAGACTTGCGTGGGCAGTGCCATTTACATTTTGATGGCACCTTTTTTTTTAGCACTGAAGGTGGCTTTGGCCTTCAACACCACATATATGGCTAAAATATTCCAATGTCAGGGTGGAGGAGAAAAGTGGCAGTGACTGCCTGGAAACTGAGGCCTGGATGTGGTCACTTAAACATTTTAAAGGAATGTATATGTTGGACCTCTCAAAGGTGACGTGAGGTTTCCTCTGATGTCTGACTGCCTTGTGTTTGCTGTGTTAACTTTAATCCAGACGTTCAAGGAAGCAAAGGAGAGTCAAGCGACTTTGCTTCCCACATAGGAACCCGGACAGAAGCAATATCTGAATAGCAAGAAGGGGAAAAGCACCAATTTAGCCTGTAAAACCAAAACATGATTTGGCCTCTGTGACTGGCAATTGGGTAGCCATTATTAGTTTGTTTCCTACAGACTTGGTGTGAAGTAAACAGCACTGAAAGAAGGGAACATATCAGGCAAGAACGCTACCAACCTGTGTTCTGGGTGTAACACACAACAGCAGCTAAACCCCAGGCACTGTTAGTTGTTCTCTTAGTAATAGTACATTCAGCCAAACTGGTCTCTAATCCTCGACAACGCACATACAGACATTCAGTGGAATTTTCTTCAGGAAACGGAAATTTTCCTTGAGTACTATGAGCTCCTCTGCAAATAGAATAAATGAAATATTAGGGTGGAATTATTAATCCTCGGCATTTAAAACCTTGCTGTGGGAGGTAAGAGACTAAGGTCCTCCTATTTTCTACTCATGAGTGATAGATTGTGCAAGATGCTTAAATTCTCTGAGCCTCAATCGCTTCTTCTGTGAAAGGGCACATAACTGTCTCACCAAGCTTTGTAAAGATTAACTAAAACAATCAATTTAAACTGACTAGCCAAAGTTCAAAACACGGAAAGCACTCAGCAAATACTGGTTTCCTCTCCCCTGTTTCTTGTTAAGGAGGAGTATTTCTTTTTCCACACTCTTGATATTTCCTTCCAACCTGAGATGTGTCATTCTTGGCCTCTCTCCATCTCTTAATTCCTCTTCTCTCCAGGAAAAGGAGTGGATTAATTTGATGAGGGAATTTTGGAAATATAAACCAGGCAAGCAGCCCAGCTCTTCCATCTTTTCCTTTTGGGGCCCCTCCACTCGTCCTGTGCTGTGAGGCTTAACTGGCTGGCCCTGTTGCTGTGTAGGATTTACAAGGTTAAGTTAGTTTCATTCTGGCAGGTCCATTTTGCTTTTACACTAAGCCACATCCTCAATTCAGCCTTGACAGTGTTAAGGTGATATCTTGGCATCTGTATGCCATTGCTTGGACTTCTCCATTCATTCAGAATTTGTGCGGGTAAAAGTCTACTTCAAGGACCCAATACTCTAGAGACGATGAGTTACAGCGAACTACCTTCCAGCCCACTCAATTGCACCCTGCTTCTCTTTAGAAGTAAGTGAAGAAAATGAGTTAAAAATAAAAAGTTGAGCAAGGACACATCAGCCAAATGTAAACAAAAATTAGGTGGTAACGGCAATATAAACATAAGATAAAGTAGAATGAAAGGCAAAAAGAGAACAATTAAAGGGAACAAGGAAGGTATTTTTAATTATTTCAGATCCAGAGTGAGAATATAGCAGTCATGAAACTGTACAAAACATCATCAAAATATAAGAACAAATGAGAGCCATTTGGGGTAATGTGACAGGTGAACAATCTGAAAAGTCTTTCACCCTGAAACTATCTAGGAGTACTAGGTAAATACAATAAATGCCCTCAATGAGCTCTTAAGGAAGTAAGGGAAATACCCACTGGCTGAAATCAGAGAAGTCTGTCCCTGAGCTTATGCAAAATATGAAAAGAGCAAAAGACGGAAAGTTCAAAGACTGGGAGAGCTCACCCCTCAGTTTAATCATAGGTTGTAGGTCATAAACGATCAAAAATCAGAAATACTCTGTGGGTCAATTTAAAGATAAGAGATTCTCACTAATGAACTACTAGCAGATATGGTTTAGGAGGAAGGAAATTGAATCCAGAAGGAAGGAGTGAGATGTAAGAAGCAACAATAGGGGCTGCCCCCATGGCCTAGTGGTTTTGTGGTTAAGTTCAGTACACTCCTCTTTGGTTCCCGGGTGCAGACCTACATCACTCATTGGTGGCCATGTTGTGCAGGTGGCCCACATACGAAAAAATAGAGGAAGATTGGCACAGATGTTAGCTTAGGGGGACTCTTCCTCAGCAAAAAAACGGGGGGGGAGGGGTCAGCCCTGGTGGCCTAGTGGTTAAGTTCAGTGTGCTCTACTTCAGCAGCCGGGGTTCGGCTCCCGTGCACGGACCTACACTGCTCTGGTAGCAGCCATGCTGTGCTGGCAGCCCACATACTGAAAAATAGAGGAAGGTTTGCATGGATGTTAGCTCAGGGCAAATCTTCCTCAGCAAAAAAAAAAAAAAAAAAAGAAGCAACAACAAACCAAGAAGTTGGTAAACATGAAGTAGATCTGAGAAAGCACTGACTGAACAACAGTAATAATAAGTGCTTATTTTATAATGATAGCAATTAACTTCAGGGTTGTACAAAAATAAGGTGGAACTAAATACTGGAAACTTGGTAGGGTAGTGACATTCTTTGTATGTTCCAGAAGAGTTCGAGGAGTTCCGAAGACAAGGATTCATGGTATAAATGTAAAGGTAACCACTAAAGGAATAGAAATAGAATGTATATAATTTCCAAACCAAGTAGAGGAGGAAAAGAGGGAAGATTAAGAAAAACAACAACAACTTTAATAACCTAATAGAAGTTAGAAAAGGAAGAAACAAGAGCACAGAAAAAGTAAGGTGAATAACAAGCCCAAAATAAGATAGGAAAAATAAATTCAGCAGTGTAAATAATCACAATAATATAAGTGGACTAAACTCCTCAGATAGTTATTGTCATATTGGATTTAAAAAAAAAATCTAATATGCACTGTTTATAAGGGACACACATAAAAGATAAAGACACAGAAAGCTCATAAGTAAATAAATGGGAAAAGATTTGAACAAGCCAGTTAACAGGCTTGCTTATTCTAATGGATAACATATTTATTACATAGAATTCTGCACATGAAGCATTTAAAATACACTCAGCACAAAGCAGGTCTCAACAAATATTTAAACAATTGCCATCATAGAGAGACATTATCTGACCACAATACAATTAAACAGGAAATCTATAACAAAAAGTTAACCAAAAGCAAACTAATATATTCATTAGGAAACTTAAAAAAGAAACTTCTAAATTACATATGGGTTGAAAAAGAAATTATGTTGAAAATTAGGAACTGTTTTGAACTGAACGACAAATAAAATACTGCTTATGGAGGCTTATGGCATGCAGACGAAGCAACTACCCGGAGGGAAATTTGTACCTTAAATGCTTGGAGTAGAAAATGATAAAAACTGAAAATTGATGAGTTAAGCATTTAACTCAAGGAATTGTAAAAAATACAATAGAGAAAAGGAGAGAGCCAAAGATAACAGCAAAATGTAATGAAGTAGAAAATAAAGAAGAGATAATTACATAAATATAAAAATAAAAACACCCTAATCAAATAGACAAATCTTTGCAACGTTGATCAACAGAAAAAGAGAGAAGGCGTAAGTGGAGAGCATGAGGTATGAAGAAGTGACGTCACTCAGGATGGGACAAGAGACGGTCAGGCGTGTGGGACTCCGCATCAGCCGAGGACTTGCGTCTAGATCTTTAACAGCCATGCGGGCCCTGTGCTCAGCAGCCCCCTGAGTGGTAGTCAAGCGTGAACGCATCTAATCCTCAGGCTGGCGCTATGAGGCAGGAAGTTAATATTTGCAGGTTACGTATGAGGAAGTTGAGGCACCGAAAGATTAGGCAATCAAAAAACAAACAGTTGGAACGATAAAATGGACCCTGGGAAAACCTGCCGCCAGAAGCACTCACAGTTGAAATCCGAGGTCCAGGCAGGCCACGTTGGCCTGTGTCATGCTCCAGTTCCTTTTACATACAAACATTTTCTTCTCCTGGTTCACAAGTTTTACCTCAACAAATCCCTCTGAATCTGTATTTCCATACTTCAAGGAAACATCAAATTTCCCTAAATTAAAAACCAAAAGAATGAGCAATACTTAGGCATTCACTTTTTCTCCTCTTGATTAAAAGCCTTTAAAATAATAAAATACATAATTTCAAATTAACTTTGAATGCCAGAGAGATTCTAACAAATAATGCTAAGCAGTTGTTTTATGAGGGCTTATTACGTCTCAGGGGCTGTGCTGTCCAGTATGTAGAATATCTTAAAATCCCACATTAACCCCGTCGAGATTACGGCCAATATTCATCCTCGTTTTCACACACGAGGAGCCTCAATTTCTCCATCTTTAGACACGAGGTTAAGTTACTTGCTCAAGTGGTGACACCAGGAATCTGAACCTGCTGCATTGATCTCCCTCCAAAGTCCATGCTCTTAAAAGTAAGCCCAACAAATAATGGAAATGGAGGAGAGGGTTCTGCATTCTCAGCTATTTAAGAGAACAAATGTCTGACACTGAACAAATAATCTGCATATTACTTCCCCCCTCTCCAGCGGGTAACAGAGCTGAGCTCAAATAGTTCACAATACTTGTTCACGATACCTCCACATCTTAACTCAGCATCACAAAAATATTTAGACTACTGTGTGCTGGTGTGTGTGATGGTGCCTTTAAAACGAATGTTCTAAGTGTTCCTCTGTAAATTCATGAAGTGTCTGTGATAACTGATATCAGACGACAACAAGCCTGAGGTGTGCTGTGAACCCTAAAATTTCATGAGCACTTTCCATGCACCGAACACTGTAGGAAAAGCTTCATACATTTTATATACACCATTTTATTTCATTTTCGCAAGAGTCTTACGAGTTGGGAACTACTATTATCCACATTTTACAGATGTGGAAACTGGGGCCCAGAGAGGCCACATAGCTTGTTGATAACTGAGTTGGGGCTTGGAGGGGCTTGCAACTAAATCCGGCTGACAGGGAGGTCCCTAATCTTAAGCAGTCCATGAATCCACAGAGTAGGGTCCCGGCCTCCTCACTACCTTAGGCACCTGGACGACCGTAGACGAGCTCTCTGATCGGATGTGCCAAGTTTGCTAGGGGTATGTCCTAGGTGAGCAGTGGCCTGAGCTCACCTTGGACCAGGGAGTTGCAATGGGGTCGGGGCTCGGGAGAGGGGTAGGGGCTGATGGGATGGATGCTGGAAGAAACTATCGGGGCCAGAGGTCCAGAGAAAGGCGTCATTTTAGTACCAATCTCATGTAAAGACTTTTTCCCTGGGTTTTGAACTCAACTCAATGACTCTGGGAATAATGCCTTCAGCTAAGTGGAAGTGAGCGTGGGGATAATTCTGAAGGAATGGGCAGCAGAGAACGGCATGGGCACTGAGGGGGAGGACTGGCCTCAGGGCCTTGTGCTCCGGACTCAAGGACTGGCTAGATTCTGGTGACCCTTAATTTCTTTATTTATCCCCCCATTACTATTGAGGATCTAGAGAAGAATTTTGAGTTCTCATCATAACATTTCATAGGAAAAGTATTTTCTAATACAAAGTATGGTAGACAATTTCCTTCTTATACCATAGAATAAGCTGGCCTCTCCCTACCTTCGGCTGTGCATATTCCATTATTTAAAAACTTTGCCCCTGGACGAAGACATTCAACACTCTTTTGCTGACAGTAAGTCGGGTAGCTTCTCCCATTAGTTGAACACACGGTGGTACCATTCTTTGGGCACTGATAAGGGAGTTTACAGCTGCAGCTCCCTTGGATGCATTTCTGCCATGGTTGGCAGAAGACTTTATTGCAGGAAAGATGTGTGTGTTTTTCAGTTAAGCACTTTTCCTCCAGGAGATCTTCCTGAGATGCGCCTGGTGTCCAATAGGTCTATAAAACACAAGACAAACCTTAATTTATCAAAAAACTAAAACCTTCTTTTTGAAGATGAGTAAGTGAAGGCAAGAAACAAAACAGACCCGCGTACCCCACAGTACAGAACAGGGTGCTCTGGTCTAGTGGTTTTTAGAATGAGACAAACCTGGCTTCTAATCCCAGCGTGGGCACTTACAGCCAAATGGCCTTGGGCAAGCTACTTACCCTTGTGACACGTGGGTTTCCTCTTCAGCAAAATAGGGGTAATATCTTCTATTTTGCAAGGTTATTCAGGGATCAGAAATAATACGCATATAACGGTTGGCAGATACGAGGCATGAAATCAATGGGAGCTTTATTATCCTAAAGCCAACATAAAATTCTGCCTTTGAAGAAACCAATGAATCTCATCAGTCATGTTAAGGAGTAACACATTTGCTGCTAAATATAGTCTCGTGGAATGGACTGAAGAATGAAATGGATTATTTCTATAAATAAATGCAAAACCATTTGTTAAACTCCTACTGTGTGCAAAGTCCTGCTAAGATGACCTTGACATGGGCTCTGTCTTTTGGGGCTTGATATCTAGGCAATAAATAGAAACATGCATAATAACTGGGGTGCAAGACAGACTGTGGTAAGAGACAGAACAGTGGCACAAATACCACACTACTCCTGGAGAATGCGACTGGGAGAGAGGAAGTCTTTCCAGGGGGAGGTTAAGGGCCTCATGGAGGTGGTAGCATTTGAGCAAGGTGAGGGAGGACAAGTGCTGGCAAAACCCAGGAGGGATGATGAAGAATGTACTTAGGGATTTGTGAGCAGTCTCAACAGATGGGCACACGAGGTTGTGAGTACTTCAAATGGTGTGCTCACTGGTCAGGAAATTGGGAAGGAAGAGGCAGCAGGAACGGAGCATGAGAATGGTTTGGAAAGACCCTCGAGCAGACAAAAGCCATAGGATTGGACGATTTAATCCATAGAGGGGTTGGGGGTGAGTCCTAGGTTTTGAGCTGGAGTGATTATAAGGGTGTATAATGCCATTAATCAAAATAGATATTAACCCATCAACTGATGATTGGATAAAGAAGATATGGTATATATATACAATGGAATACTACTCAGCCATAAAAAAGGATAAAATTGTCCCATTCACAACAACATGGATGGAACTTCAGGTTATTATGTTAAGTGAAATAAGCCAGATAGAGAAAGACAAACTCTGTATGACTCCACTCATAGGTGGAAGTTAAACATTCAGACAAAGAGAACTGATCAGTGGTTACCAGGAGAAAGGGGGACATGGGGGGAGGGCACAAAGGGTGAAGTGGTGCACCTAAAACATGACTGACAATAATGTACAAGTGAAATTTCACGAGGTTGTAAACTATCATAATCTTAATAAAAAGTTAAAAAAATAGATATTAAGTTAAGGTAGAGCATTATGAATTTGGTTTGTGACCTATTGAGTCTGAGGTGCCTGAAGGACGTGTACCTGTAGGTATTTTGTAGGAAAGGGAACGTGTGTCTGAAGCTTGGAAGACAGACCATTAGCTCAGTTATCAATTAATTCAATAAACGAGATAGTAAGCACCATTCTGTGTCGGGGGATGGCCTGAGATGAAGACCAGAGGACTAAAAGTCCCATCCTAGGGAGCACACCGACCCGAGGAGAGACAGGTGAGCCTGACCGACATTTCCCTGACAGATGTGGGCCAGGGATGCTTTTGGAACAGTGTTCTGGGCCCTCGCCTGACAGAAGGCTTGGGAAGATCTCCAGGAAGAGCTGATGTCTGGGCTGGGTTCTGAGGGTGCTGAGGAGTCGTCAGCTGGCAGAGGGGCTGGTGGGTAGGCACCCCAGGCAGGACTGAGAAAGAGACCAGCGTGTTGGAGGCTGGAAAATAGAGTGTGTGTGGAGGCGGGGGGGCGGTGGAGAAGGGAGCAGGTCCTGCGGGAGCCACTGAGGGACTTTAAGCAGGGAAGCAAATTTGCATTTAAGGAAGATCTTTCTGGAGATCAGATCAGACAGGCCAATCAAACATACAAGAATCCAGATGAAATATGATGAGGGCTGGGAACAGGCCAATTGGGTCAAAAGTCATTTGCAGAAAGCCAGTGTTCTCTCTGTGTCCCCTAGTCGATCGTCTGGAGGATGGGAGCGATGAGGATGGAGCAATGAGGATGGAGCAATGAGAGCCCCTTCTCTTCTTCAGTGCCCTCCAGTGCAGTAAGAGCAAGTAAGAGCAGAAACAAAGTGAACAATCTTTTTAAGTGCAGAATAATCCAGTCAATTATAACCATGCAAAAATTTGCAAAAGCTGTGAAAGTCATTCTATCCAATATGCTTTTCAGTGAACTTCATTAAATAGCCATAGAGACAAGAAAATTTGACAAACTGGTCACTCACTACACTGGCTTTTAACACACTGATCTAGAACGAAGTCTACCAGTTGCATGCTTTTCATGGTTCCACGTACCTCTTCTGCAGCGCTTATTAGAGCTGCCATTTTTGTAATCACTTAGCTCCTGGATCTTCCCCGACAAGAAGGGAAGTGCCCTGATGGCAAGGACTGCCACCTTTTATGCATCACTCTTCTATTGAAAGACTGATGCTCCAGATGGGTGCAAATAGAAAACAATTCGATTTTTTCCCAACTTTATCCCTTTAAATCCTTTCTGAGGTCTCATTTTTCTTTAATCTTTGGATAGAAACTTGGGCACATGTTGGAACTTTTCAGTCACTCTTAGAGCAAAAACAAAAAAAATTAAAAGACTTTAGTCCCAGGAGCAGTGATATAACAGCAGTTACAATGTCCTGTGTAATCACTGAAACTCTGGCCTTCGCTCCAGATGAAAGCTTCTCGGACCCCCAGCTCAGCCTCATTCGGGGCATGGGGGCAGGGAGGGGGGTATTCATTGAATGAATGGTGGAAAAACCCAACAGAGAGAGAACATTGAGGAGAATTTACATTGAAGGAGCTGAAGATGTGGAACAAGCAAAAGAGACTTTGCTTCCCAGCCACAGTGTTGCTCCCGTGTCTAATGCGGCAGAGGCCTTCAGAGGATGAAGCCTGAAAAAGCCCACTGAATTTGATGAACAGGAGTCATTGGGACCCTTTGAAGAAGTGGTTTTAGCTGAATGTCAGAGGCAGAAAGCAGACCTTGGTGAGCAGAGGCCGGAATGGGAAGTGAAGAAAGGGAAGCAGAGTGTAGGCTCACTGCTTTGATTGGTCTTGTGCTTAGACATGGGAGACTTTAAAAACATCTCTGCTTCCTCTCCGAGCCCCAATAAAATGAGATTAAAAGGATTTTTTAACAAAGGCATGACCAATAAGGCTAAAGAGAATGGGGAGAAGACTACAGACTCGAGAGGTTGTCAAAATGTTGGAAGCTGGACAGCAGATGGGCTGCTACTAACGGATGTAGCAGGCCAGAGAGAACGGAATCCCAAGCCTAACGAGGGAAGGCCATCAGAATAAAGCAAATTCCCCCTACAGAACCCCAGAAAAGCCAAGGAATAGGGACACCTAGTACCACTGAAGAAGACGGAGTGGCTAAAAAACCAGGGGATTGGCTAAAAGAAATGGTTTTATGAACATTTTATTAAGAAATCTGATGTAGACAGCAGAAGAAACAGCAAAGATTTGAAAGTGGTTGTCTCTGGACAGAGAGAATCAGGGGTGCAGAGGGGTGTGGTGGGGTATTTCACATTATAAGCAAGGATAATTGATCCTATCTGACCGCTCAGTATCTATGCCCAATAAATTATTAAACATTTAAAAATCACCATGGTTTTGAGCCTTATGGTATTATTTGCCTTTGTAAACTATATACATGAAATAATTTGATAAAAAATCAATTAAATGAAAAGTAATGTCATTATGCTTTCAGTAGAGAAAAGATTAAATGTTAGGCTTTGAATGAGAAAGAAACAGATGAGACAGTAGCACAAAGGGACCAAGAGCAAAGAGAGATTGTTGTTGTTGCTGGGATAGAAGAGATTTTATCATAATTCTAGGCCAAGGTCAGGAATCTAACAGAAAGGGAAAGATTGAAGCTTTAATGGAGAGGCAGCAAAATTGTTGAAACACAGTTGAGGAGAGGATAGGAGGAGGGGTAATTAGAACGCAGTGGAGAAGACTGCCTTAGATATATCAGTTTCCTATTCCTACAATTTCTTATTCTAAATTGGAACCAGTCTTATCATAATATTACCATTTAAAATTTCAGGTTGATGGTAATGGCTAACACCAATACAGTGGCTATTGACAATGGCATTAATCAAAGGAGAGAGAGAAAATTATTGTGAGGCAATAGCTGGGGACAGTAAGAGGAGGTTTCTTTGTCCACTGTGTAAAACATGATGACAGAGGCCTTTAACTCTAACGGGACTGGGTAAGTCACATGTGTCTATGGATCCTCAGTGTCTAGACCAGTGGGCTGATGACCTTTGAGGACATTATTAAAGGGGTTTGTGAATGCATTTGTACATAAATCTTTGCCTGAAGACAGAATATAGACTATGCCTCATACATTTATGTACGCCCATCTTTCCAAAATTTGTAGGTGCTATTAAGATTAATAATCAAAATTATTTAAACCATCACCTGAAATTATATTGACTTTGTCACTTCCTTTCCTCCCACAATAACAGAAATGAAAACAAATAAATAATATAAAATAACAGAAACTAAAATAACAACTATTATGTGTAGAGTTGCTGGTATAAGATGGGGTGGTGGATCTAAGTACTTTTTAATGTTTATCTTTGTGGTAAACATTAACACTGTTTACTAAAATCTTATTTTACTCTACTTCAAGGCAAATGGGAAGACTGCATTTCCTTTTTGAGGTTGGACATGGTGGGGACTTGCTTTGGCCAATGAAATACAAGCTGAAGTAACATATATTGGTTTCAGGTAGAGGCGTTTAACTGCCAGTGCTCAACGACCCAGCATTCTCTTTCCCTGTCATGGTGACCATGGGAACACGTGCTGTAGAGATGTCACAGAATCAAAGCAGCCGAGCATGCTCCAAAAAAATAATAATATTTAATGATATAGCAATTATTTTCACGTGAACTTTGTCTTTTTGTTCTAGGCAGGACTACAATGAAGCATTTTAGAGCAATGATTGGTCATTAGAAAACAAAGAAAGAAAACAATCTCCTCTTCAACCCCAGCAGACAGCAACACAGCTTTACCTGTGGTTTCTTCAGCACGTTTCCTCTCATTTGCTTTTCACCTTCAATCTATAAATAAAGGAAAAAGAATGATTAACTACGACCAAAGCCAGGAAAAGTCCATCACTTTCTCTTTTTACTGCTTTTTGTAAAAAAAGTAGAAAGTTCCCCTTCTACTGATGACTAGCTATGTGATCTTGGGTAAGTGATTTTACCTTTCTGATTCTGTTTCCTCTTCTATAAAAGGTGGAAAAGAAAAATAATATGCTCACAAAGCTATCATGAGGATCAAATGAAAAATATGTGGGAAAGCACACACAGACATTTAAGATCCTGTACAAACGCTAACATGATGATGACTGTGGTAGATTGCATATGGCCCCAATTCTTCTACTCTCCCCTCATCCCAGTCCTTTGCTGTGCCTCTCATAGGGGCAGGGTACATTTCCCCACCTCTAAACTCTGGGCCTGGCCATGTGACTTGCTTTGGTCAACAGGAAGTTAGCAGATGTGACATAAGAAATGCTTGGAAAGTACTTGTACACCTGGGTTTGTCCCTTTGCTACTCTGCTATAGCTATAGGAACATGGCCAGGTTGGCAGAGAAGAATGGCTCCGGCAGATCCCAGCTTAGATCAGCTGATCCCCAGTCAACCTGCAGACTCGTACACTAAGTAAAGTTGTACACCACTGAGATTTTGTGGTGATTGCATTATTATGGCATTAACCAACTGGTACAATCATGATTTTCCTGGAAAACATTGAGAAAAAAATGGAAAAGCTTCAAAAAGAGTAAACAATATGAAGTTTTGTCTCTCTTTTAGATGTGAATAAATAACTCATATCCTGAAAGTTAACAACCATATCAGAAGCCTTTCCATTTAGACACGCTATGGCTCAGTTCCTTCCTGTCGTAGTTTTCACTAGCAATTTTTTTTCTCCAATTTTTTCCTCTCCTTCCATCTGCCCATCTTGTATCATACCTTTTTCTAATATAAAGCTATGCCCCCAACATCCCAACAACCAGCCCCTCAACCAGTAGCCATTCAGATTTTTAAAAAAATAGAGAATGTTTCTCTATTAATCCCTAATGATGCATTTTTCCAAGTCACATAGAAAGTTTGATAAAGACGTTTGTTATTTTTGTCTTTGTTGTTTGTTTTTATTTTTTAAATAAATATCTCTCTTTTCCCAGGGCCAGCATGTTACTGTTGGAAATGGTGGGAAAATAGTTGTCTGGTGTGTGCAGGTAAGAGGGGCTCTTGTACCTTGTTCTCTTTAAAAAACTGGGAATTTTGTTTTGGGATCAATTCCATTATTATTTTTTTTCTGGTGAGAAGACTGGCCCTGAGCTAACATCTGTGTCAATCTTCCTCTATTTTATATGTGGGACATTGCCACAATCTGGCTTAATGAGTAGTGTGTACGTCCATGGTTGGGATCTGAACCCACAAACCCCAGGCTGCCAAAGTGGAGCGCAGTAACTTAACCATTACACCACTGGGCTGGCCTCTCGATTCCATTATTTTTGCCTCAGAGATTAAAAAAAAATTATTGGCCTAGTTTCTTGGTCTTGTTTTTTTAATAATAAATATAAGATGGCTGGAATTTTGTTCTTATTTCATTTTTAAATGATTCTCTAAAAATAGGAAACAAAAATGTTAAAACAGGTTCAAAGAGGTGCCTGTAAAAATTATATTTCCTCCTTTCCCTTATCCATTCAGCCTACCCAGGCACCCCCCCCCCCCCACCATAGTCAACCACTTAATAGTTCGTTGTGAATCTTTCCAGAGATCAGCTTTGTATATGTGAGCCCATATTTTACTCTCTGACTGCCCCCCAACACCAGGGCAATTTGCAACCTGTGCCCCTGTAACTAGACCCCAAAGCGCATTTATATTGTTTCCAATGTTTTGTTATCATGAACAACGTTGTAACAAATCTCTTTATATAATACACATCATTTCCCACGTATGCTAAGTATATCTGTCTGTATTGGGAGCGAAATTGCAGAAGCAAAGGAATGAGCAGCTTTAATGTGGAAAGATATTGCCTAATTTCTCTCTATAGAGGTTGTTTTAATTTGCATTCCCATCAGCAACATACAACAGTGTCTACTTTCCATACTCTTGACCACAGAACATATACCTTATTAAACTTTTTTATCTTTGCCAATTTGATATGTAAAAATGTTTTCGGAGCAGTTTTATTTGCATTTTTCCCCCAATAAGTGAGGTTGAATATCTTTCAATATGCTTAAACTTTAAGAGAGATTTGTATTTCTTTCTCCTTATACTAACCATATCTTTTGCTGATATATACTAGATTTTTTCCCTCGTTTTTGTAGGAAGTCTATGTGTTAAAGAAATGAGCACTTTGTCTGGAATATGAGCTGCAAAAAGTTGTTTATTGACAAATGGCAAGCCTAGTATATTTGTCACACAGAGCAGATACTTTTTAAACACCTTCCCATACAACAAAATTATCTCCAGTAAAAATCATGAAAGAAATGAATAATAAATTATGCAGAAAAATGTAAACAGCAAACACTTTCTTTTATTGAAATTCATATATATATATATATATATAAAAAATCATGCTTGTAAAAAATAAAAAAGTAAAATACATAGTACAGTACAAGTAAGGAAAAAACCAATACATAAATATTTTTAATTACACTGATGTATTTAATGAAAAAGGAAAAATTATACCTGTATAGAGGTCTGTTGCAGTAATGAATAATAATATTACAGTTTAACAACAATTAAATACATAAAAAGAATAAATTTCCTTTTATAAATATTATTCAAATTCAGTAAATTATTTCCTGTATAAACTACTGTTTGTACTTAACAAACAAAAATATTACACCTTTCAGTCTGCACCGTTTTACTGTTTCATATTGTACAAAAATTCCAAATGGCCATTAGAATGAAAAAACTGAAAAACTCAACTTTTGTTTCTTTTTCCTTATAGTCACTGTGATAACATTGCTTATTTTGAATCTATTTAAATTCAGGAAAATGTAATAACACAGAGTTTGATGACAGAAACTTACCTGAAGTGAGTTTGAACAAGTCTAATGCATAATGTATATGAGACTGCCTGTATTGGGGCTGAACTGAGAGTTGACAGAATTAACTTCCATCTATAATGCAATGTCTATTAAAGGATAAGCAAAAAAAAAGTACCCATTTGAAGTTTACATTTGTATTTTAAAAACTCAACCTCAAAAATCTCAGCAGTTGTTAACTGTGCTAATACAATAGCCACTAATAAAATGTGGTTATTTAAATTAAAGTTAATCTAAATTAAATGGGAATTCTTCTGTTTCCAGTCAAGATAGAGTAATAGATACCAGATATACCCTGCAGCCTAAAACAATCAAGAAATGGACAACATACAGAAAACAATGATTTTCAGGACACTGGACATCAGGCAATGAAGGGTAGCGTTCCATTGAGAAACAAATGAGGATCGCCCTACAGTTGTTCCATCTGATTGCCTAGAGAGAGTTTCCAGATGATGGTGCAGAGAGGGGAATCCTGAGTTGAGGAGACAGAGCTGGGAGTCTGGGGAGATCAAGGCAGCAGTAGCTCGCAGAATGAAGTACTGGGAAGAAGTGAGTGGCACAGAGACAGAGCTGGGAGTCTGGGGAGATCAAGGCAGCAGTAGCTCGCAGAATGAAGTACTGGGAAGAAGTGAGTGGCATAGAGACAGAACTTTGGAGCTAGAACAGATCCCCTTTGAGTGTTAAGCTGTGTATTTATCAGCACCTGGGTGTGAAGAAACTACTGGCGGCTGAGAAAGAACCACCCAAAAGAATTCAAGGTAATAGGGCCCACACTCAAACGAGGTCATGAATAGTGCTTATTCTCACCACACAGACTGAAAAATGTCTTCCTGCAGAAGAAAAGATTAGCAAACCCAAAGATTTATCAACAGAAACCACCCAGAATGAAACGTGGAAGTAACAGAATTTTAAAAAAAGCACAGGGTCTAAGTGAGCTGTGGGACAAGTTCAAGTGGTGTAGTATACATGTAATTGGAGTCCCAAAGGAGAGGAGAGTGAGATGGGAACAGAAAATATATTTCAAGAAATAATGGCTGAAATTTTTCCAAATTTTATGAAAACTATAAATCCACAGACCAAACAACTGAATGAACTTCAAGCAGAAGACACATGAAGGAAGCTCCACACTCAAATTTCTCAAATGCCAGTGATAGAAAAATCCTCAAAACGGCTAAAGAAAAAAAGACACATATGTGAAGGAACAAAGGTAAGGGTGACAGCAGAGCTGTCATCAATATTGCAGGTGAGAAGACAGTGCAGCAACATGTTTAAAATCCTGGAAAAACCTCTGTCAACCTATAATTTTATACTCAGCAAAAATATCATTCAAAATTTAAGGCAAAATAACCACCTTTTTAGACATACAAGAAGTATTAATCACCAGCATATCTGTACTACAAGAAATGTCAAAAAGAAAAAGAAAGAAAGTCCTTCAAGAAGAAGGCAAGTTATCCTAGATGGAAATCTGGATCTACACAAAGGAATGAAGAATACTAGAAATCTGTGGGAATTTTTGATGTGGGGGTAGGAGAGGCAGGGAAGGTAGCCTTTATCTCTACTTTGTAACTCTTCTTGTGATATCTTTGTCTGACTTTGATATCAGAGTAACATTGGCCTCTTAGAATGACTTGGGAAGTATTTCCTTCTTTTCATTTTTTTGGAAGAGTTTGAGAAGGATTGGTGTTAATTCTTTAAATGTTTGGTAGAATTCAACAGTGAAGTCATCTGGTTTGGACATTTCTTTGATGGAAGTTATTTCTAAAACTGATTCAATCTCTTGTTTTATGTCTGCTCAGATTTTCTATTTCTTCTTGAGTCAGTTTTGGTAATTTATGTTTCTAAGAATTTGTCCTTTCATCTAAGTTATCTAATTTGCTGGCATGTAATTGTTCATAGCATTCTCTTATCATTCTTTTGATTTCTGTAAGCTCAGTAGCAATGTCTCCACTTTTTGATTTTATTTATTTGCATCTTCTCTCTTTTTTTTCTTTGTAAGTCTAGCTAAGGTTTATCAATTTGGTTGATCTTTTCAAAGAACCAACTTTTGGCTTGATTCTTTCTTTTCTCTTACTATTCTTTATTTTACCTCTCTATTGTAGTCTTTATTATTTCCTTCCTTCTCCTAGCTTTGGATTTAGTTTGCTTTTCTTTTTCTAGTTCTTTAAGGTGTAAAAGTAGGTTATTGATTTGAGATCTTTGTTCTTCTTTAATGTAGGCATTTACTGCTATAAATTTCCCTCTGAGCACTGCTTTTGCTATATCCTATATGTTTGGGTATGTTGTATTTTTGTTTTTGTTCATCTTTAAGTATTTTCTAATTTCTCTTGTGATTTCTTCTTTGATCATTGGTTGTTTAAGAGTATATTATTAAGGGGCTGGCCCTGCGGCCAAGGTTAAAGTTCCACACACTCCACTGCTTTGGTGGCCCGGGTTTGTGAGTTTGGATCCTGGGCATGGACCTACTTCACTCACCAGCCATGCTGTGGAGGCGTCCCACATACAAAAAATGGAGGAAGATTGAGACAGATATTAGCTCAGGGCAAATCTTCCTCACCAAAAAATAAATAAATAAAGAGTGTATATTGTTTAATTTCCACATATTTGTGTATTTTATAGTTTTCCTTCTGTTACTGATTTCTAGCTTTATTCTGTTGTCATTAGAGAAGCTACTTCACATGATTTCAATATTTTTAAATTTATTGAGACACGTTTTGTGGCTTAATGTATGGTCTATCCTGGAGAATGTTTCATGCGACTTGAGAAAAGTGTGTATTGTGCTGTTGTTGGGTGGCGTGCTCTACATATGTCTAGTTGTTAGATCAGGCTGCCTTATAGTGCTGTTAAAGTCGTCTATTTTCTTATTAATCTTCCACCTAGATTTTCTATCCATTATGGAAAGTGGGGTATTGAAGTCTCCAACTATTATTGGAGAATTGTCTCTTCCTTCCTTCAGTTTATGTCAATATTTGTTTCATATGTTTTGGGCTCTATTGTTTGTTGTGTATATGTTAACAATTATTATATATTTTTAATGAATGGACTCTTTTATCAACATCTAATGTCCTTGCCACTTGTAACAAGAGACAATTAAGGTCAATTTTGTCTGACATTAGTGTGGCCATTCTAGCTCTTTTAGTTACTATTTTCTTGGAATATTGTTATCTATCCTTCACTGTCAACCTGTTTTTGTCTGGATCTAAAGTGAGTCTCTTATAGACAACATATAGTTGGATCCTGGGGTTTTTAAAAATCAATTCTGTCAATCTGTGCCTATGTATTGGAGAATTGAATCTATTTATGTTTAAATTAATTGCTGATAAGGAAGGCCTTACTTCTGCCATTTTGCTACCTGTTTTATGTATGTCTTACACTTTTTTTTGTTCTTTATTTCTTCCATTACTGCCTTTTTTTATGTTCAGTTGATTTTTTTGTAGTGAACTGTTTTGATTCTCTTCTTATTTCCTTTTTGTATATTTCTTAGGTATTTTGTGGTTACCATGGGGATTAAACTTAACATCTTAAATTTATAGCAATCTAGTTTTAATTGATACCAACTTAGTTTCAAGAGCATATAAGAAGTCTACTCCTGTATGGTTCCATCCCCTGTTTTATGTTATTATCATCCATTACATCTTTATACATTGTGTTACTGTTACAAGACTTATGATTATGTTTATACATTTGTCTCTCAGGTCATGTAGGAAATAAAAAGAGGAGTTACAAACCAAAAATAAAATAACATTGGCTTTTGTATTTACCTATGTAGTTACCTTTACTGGAGTTATTTATTTTTTCATATGGCTTCAAGTTACTGTCTAGTGTCCTTTTGTTCAACCTGAAGGACTCCTTTTTGTAGTGCATTTCTTGTAGGGCAGTTCTCCTAGCAACTAACACCATCAGCTTTGGTTTATCTGAGAACGTCTTAATTTCACCTTCATTTTCAAAGGATAGCTTTGCCAGATATAGAATTCTTGGTTGACAGTTCTTTTCTTTCAGTACTTCAAAAATATCATCCCACTCTCTTCTGGCCTCCACGGTTTCTCATGAGAAAGATTCTGCTAATCTTACTGAGAATCCCTTGTCCATGATGAGTTGTTTTTCTCTTGCTGTTTTCAAGATTTTCTGTTCTGGCCCTTGGCTTTGAACAGTTTCATTATAACGTGTCTTGGTATGAATTTCTTTGCATTATCTTCCTGAGGGCTGGTAAACTTCCTGAATCTGTAGATTCATATCTTTTATCAATTTTTTTGGAAGTTTATGTCTATGATTTCTTCAAATATTCTCTCTGACACTTTCTCTCTTCTCCTTCTGAGATTTTCATTATGTATATATTGGTATTCTTGATGGTGTCCCACAGGTCTCTTAGGCTCTGTTAATTTTTCTTCATTCTTTTTTCTCTCTGCTCTGGGGACTGGATAATTTAATCGACCAATCTTCAAGTTCATTTACTCTTCTGCCTGCTTAAATTTGCTGTTAAAACTCTCTAGTGAGTTTTTCATTTCCAATATTATACTTTTCATCTCCAGAATTTCTGATTCCTTTATAATTTCTATCTCTTTATTGATATTCTCTATTTATTTATACATCATCCTCCTGATTTCCTTTAGCTCTTTGAGCATATTTGAGATAGTTGATTTAGAGTCTTCGTCTAGCAAGTTCAAGGTCTGTTCTTCTTCAGGGACCATTTCTGTTAATTTCTCCTGTGAATGTGCCATATTTTCTTCTTTCATTGCATACTTCATACTTTTGTGTTGAAGATCGCTCATTTTGAATATTATAATGTAGGAACTCTTGAAGTTATCTTCTTCCTTCTCCTTAGGGTTTGCTTTTCTTGCTTGCTGTAGACTGTAGGTGTTTGTTTAGTAACTTTTCTAAACTGTTTTTGTGAAGTTTGTTTTTTGTCCTGTGTGGTCTCTTAAGTCTCTTTTCTTTTACCTTGTATTCAGCTAGTGTTTAGACAAAAATTTCCTTGAACACAAGCAGCCAGAGAGAGAGAGTGTGAGCAAGAGAAAGAGAAAAGGAAGGGGAGAGAGGAAAAAAAAAGAGAAAGAAAGAAGAAAGGAAGGAAGGGAGAAAGGAAAGGAAAAAGAAAAGAAAAAGGAAAAAAGAGTAAGAAAAGAAACCCCTAAAATCAGCAAGAGCAAACCTCTCCTGGTCTTTGCAAATAGGCTCTGTGCAGGGCACTCCTTTGACGCTTAGTCAGGCCGTTTACAATTCTGCCTTAGCCTTCACTTCATGCTTATACTAGGGGTGTAAGCTTAGGGTCTTCTCAGGTCTTTTCTGAGTGTGAGTCCTGCCCTGGGCAAATGTGTTGCTTTCTAAGTTCCTTAGTATACACAGGGGCTTTTGAAGACACTAATTTCACACAGAAGCTCTCCTTAACTCTTGTTCCCAAGCTTTGGCATTCTATTGCATGTCTCAGTTATAATCTTTTGTCCCAGGTGGCTGCGGGTTGTTTGCCTTGCAGTGTCTTGGAGGCATGCCAGCTGCCGTCCCACTCTGTGTGAGTCCTGAGCTGGACGAAACAAAGACAAGCACATCGTGGCAGTCTCCCAAGTAGTCCCCACGCAGCTTAGAACAGACAAACATGGTTCTTTTTCAGTAAAGTCTGCTCTTCTCCTTCTAGAGTTCCACACTGGGAACGTGGCTTGCCATCTTCAAGACGGCTACTAAGCTGGGGACAGGATGGGGCAAGGGCAAGTAGAAATGCCATGAAGTTTTCCCACCATTTTTAAGTTGCTTTTGCTTCACTCAGCATTCACTGGAGTGGGGGGAGTGCTGTAGGCCTTTGACTGTTAATCAGGGTTCTCATAAAGTTGGTTCTGACAGTCTGCTTGATTCTATTTTTCTGTCGGGGGACAAGGGTTTGGGTCTGCCATTTTCGCTGATATGACTCTCTGTGCTGCATGTTCCTCCTGTGCACATTCTCTCTCCAGCATCTTGTCACTCTGCTAAACTTCACCCTAGTTTTTTCTCTCCAAAATACTACCCACATAAACCAAGGTGTGTCATGAACTTTTAGGGTAAGATAAAAATGTGAGGTTCCAGTCAGGGCTTATGTCCCAGCACGGTACTATCATAGTAGATGACTACAGTGACCAAAACATCTGGCTTCCGTGTTTGAGATCCCTTGGTTGTCAAGATGGCAGCCGCTCCCTCTGTGCTCTGGGTTTCTCTCCCTTCCTTCTGAGTCCCCCACTTTGTCCAGGCAGGTTCAGTCAAACCGGAATTCTCATTTCACTATTCAGAACAACTCAAGTCTATCCCACTGCCAATCCACCCTGTCATTGACATAAGCCACCTCCAAATCAGTTCATCAAAATGTTTTGATATAAAAAGGGAGTGGGGCTTTATATTCATGGAAAGAAATCTGCCCCCAGCTTTCAAAATATCAAAAATTTCTCCCAGCTGTACACATTTTATTTCATTTTGAAAATGGAGATACATTTTAAAACTTCTTTGAGCACTTTTATGTTGTCTTTATGGTAACCTCCATTTAAAAACGGTTATTCTCAGCAAGTGGGATAAAGCAATTCCATTTTTCTTTTATAAACCAATATTTTAAGAAGTTCTGAAATTTTTAAAAATATGACATTAACTCTTCTCAATTCTGTTTCTTAAAGGAATGAAGACAACTTTATTGCTAGATGATTGTTCAGTAAAAGAAAGGGACTCTTTTCTGTAAGTGAAAACTATTTTCAGTTTTGTTTTTTTATTCTGTTTTTGTTCCAGGAATTGAAAATGTGGCTGAAATGGGTTATTTTTCAAAAAACAATTTTTCCTTATTATAAAGTAACACTTTGATTTGGTATTTAAACAAGAAAAATGAATAAAGCAGAGAATTTCTGAAATTGGAAAATTCATAAATATATAAAACAGAAAATAAAAATCACCAGTAATCTCACAACCCAGAGATACCAGCTCTTATCTATTTGATATATACCCTTCAAGAACTTTTAAATTGCCATTTATATAAACTGCTATATGTGTGTATTTATGTGTATGTGTGCACGTGTGCATGTGCACAGATATATTTATGTGTGTATTTTTTTCTTTAACAAAAATAAGATTTTAGTAAGAGCCTTATTTCAATAAATATGGAATGCATCATTTTAATGGCTACATGATAGCTCATTTATGGACGTACAACAATTTAATCAGTTTCTTATCAGTGAGCACTTAGTTTATTTCCATTTGTTCTCTAATATAAACATTGCATATATATGTTAAAAGTTGCAAGAAAGTTAAAGTATGTAATTCTGATTTCTTAGGGAGTTTTCTTTAAACATTTGCTTCTATAAACTGGCATTAAAACAAAACAGTTTTTGGAATCGTTTCAAAACACTTTGATCACAAAAGCATGCAATCATCAATAAATATCTGAGATGTCTTAAACATTTCTAACCTTAATAGACGACCTTCCAATCTGGCTACAATCTGTCCTTTCAGTTTTAATTCCCTGGGTTGCCCACAACGTCTCCACTCTGATCAAATGGACTTATTCACCTGTGGGAGCCTCGGGCTTTGCTCTTTTTCTGCCATAGCACTTGCTGCTTTTCCAGGCTGGAAAGGCTGGAAATCAGTTCCTCTTTCTTTCCACTGATCAAATAGAAGCCAGAATTATAGGGCTAGCTCAAATCCCACTGGGATCATAAACTCTTCCTGACCTCCCAGCAAGAAGGGATTTCTCTCTCCTTAAAGTCCCTTGGCACAAGATATTTGTACCACTTTTTGGCAGTTAAATATATACTGTCTTGTAAAAGTTCTTTGTCTTGCGTTTTCAAACATTATTTAAATCTTGCTCATTATTTCCTCATTGGCATATTTATATCATCTTTCTATAACTGTACCCAGAGGCTACTGAAGGAAGAAATCAGTCTTGCGATTTGCCCAGCGCTGTACCTCGAATGTAGAAGGAGCTTGGTAAATGTTTGACTTAACATGATTACTGTAAATTACAGATCTGTATTAGTAAAATTCTCATTCAGCTCAATGCACAGATAAGAACACATGAAAAAATCAGTTTCTTAAAGCTCTTTCATCAGGATACTAACAGAAAATCTTTGTTACTGATTATATCCTGCCATTGTTGGTAACTGAACTACATAATCTTTAAGTCAAAATAATATCTTTAAGATTTTTTCTATATTTTTACAATATTTAAAATATCTACTTAAAAGTTTGCATAAATATTGAATTACTTACCTTGCCAAAACTTAGGGAGAAGCTCAAAAGCAACAGAATAAGCTTCATGCTGGAGACACTCAGGGCCTGCGTCTCTACTGGGGACTCTCCTCCACCCCAGATATTCTTTTGAAATTTAATGTTTAACCTCTGAAAAAATATTTAAAAAGTGAAAGTTTTCTAAAGGGTGTTGTACTTTTGAACTCGTAGAGAATTTGGCTAAAATCCAGAGTTTTACCGTAACTGAAACCAAAAACAGTCCTCCCCAGTAAATAGCTTAGGAAGGCAACCAATGGGGACTGCGTTCCCTGCCGAGGAGAACGATTTCCCCACCTTGTTACTGAACAATGCCTCTATTCTGTTTTCTGGGGAAGGCAGAAACTACGCTGGAAGAAAATTTCTTCTGTTTTTTTGTAAAATAAAATTATCATATTTTTCCTTAAGGGTGAAGACTAGGAGATGGGAAGAAGAAAAGTACATCACATTGAAGGCTATGCTGATCACATGAAAAATCCTCAACCCCACAGTTTCTTCACTATGCACAGGCTCTGCTGTGATCCAATTACACTCCCTGAGCAGAGAAAACTTTTCAAAACAAGGATTCTTGCCGAAGCACCAACTCTAGTGCAGGATTCATTTATATTTGTGATAGCAGAAATGCGGTCACGGTTTGGTTCTCCTGAAGCAGACACGAGACAGAATTTGGGGTGCAAGACACTTATTAGGAATCGACTCATGTGAATGGAAGGGAGGGGAAGTCGGAGTGAGCAGGAGAAATTGGACTGCAATGCAGGTTTGACAAAGTTCTGGCCAGCTCCTGGGGGCTCTGGAGTGAGTGTGGCCTGTCACAGGGTCAGGCAGAAATGGCTGGACCATTAAATCCTGCCTTGCTCCTGGTGTGGGTTGCCCAGGAAAGGCATGGCCTCAGGTGAGGCAGTTCTCTGTAGCTGAGGCCGACCCTGAAGGATCTGACAAAGTTGTGGTCAGAAGGAAGTGTCTGCTGACCACGCTCTTCACAGCTGGGCAGCAAGACCTTCCTTGAAGGGGGATCTGGGAGACTCACCTCCCTGTCTTTCAGGGTCCACCATTTGCGCGTTTTAGATCTACTTTCCATATACGCTTCAAGAGCGGCTTCTTCAAAATTGCGTGGGCCTCTCTTCCTGAGAAAAATTTAGAAGAGGAAGGCGGTGGTAGTGCCCTTGCGGTTGTTCTTGGGGCTGCAGGTGGTACTCATCCTCTGCCTCCTGCCTATCCACTTTAGATCCCCTCCACCCTGAGCCCCCGCCTCTGCTGGCCTCGGTGTCTCACCTGATGGCGTGACCCACAACCTCTCCAGGAGTGGTCTGAGTCCCGGGTTACCATTCCCTTCTCAGACCACACTTGGTTTCAATCCCTTTACCGTCACAAGAGGCACCAAGTGGCTCCTGTGATTCCATTCCATTCGCATTCCTCCCTGCCCTCATTGTACAACAGCAGCCCGATTTCCTCTGAATGATCCGGGTCAGTCAAGATGGTGACTCCTCTTTTTCCCTGCTGGTCCCTAGACACTAGGACCCCCACATGCAGCAGGCAGAAGATCTAGCCTATAATTCAGTGGGATTCTTGCTGTGCCTCCTGGCACAAGTGTGCTTTCTTTGAGGAATAAGACCTCTAACCCTGCAGAGTCCGCAGTTGTGGGGACAGGAAGCACAAAACCCCCAGATGGTCACTGGGGCTGACAGTAAGTGTGGTCATTCCTGCTCCATCCTTGGCTTCCACACCTGGGTCTTCTCTCTCTTCGGGATACAACGCTACATGAAGGTCTTTGATTCAATTCACATGCTGCTTCTTGGACAATAGCACCCACTCCTCACAGAGTATTGCCTTTAAGTAGCACCTCAGCTCTGCATTCAGCAGGCTGCTCCAATGCTTTATAAGGTGGCCAGCCTCTGAGTGATGCAGTATGTGATATGACCAGTGATGGCATTTTCACATCTCCTTTGCTATAAAGTGGAACTTTGGCAAGATGTTATATGGGATCCCCTGTTAAGGGATTAAATACTCTGTAATCCTTTGGATCATAATCCTAGCTGGGACCCTGCAGGCAGGAAAAGTACATCCTTACCTGGAATATATGTTGATTGCTGCAAGAATATACCACTGGCCCTTTTAAGATCGAAAGGACCAAATGTATCAATTTGCCACCAAGTGACTAGTTGGTATTCTTAAATTGTGCCACCTTGGAGCCTCAGCATTGGTCTCTGTTGCTGTCAGATTTTGCATTTGTTGATGGCAATAGCTAAGTAAACCTTGGGGGTCCATGCTATTGGCCTCATGGGTAGCCTCCATCTCTGCTACCACAGCCACTTTATTCTTGTGCTCACCGTGCTAGCACTGGGGTGGCTGATGACTGAGACTGGCTGATATCAATTGGCTGAGTCATTTTGGTGGCTATTTAGCGTCTTTTCTCTGGTGGATGTTCTCTGGTGAGTGTTAACATGTGATACAAAGATTTTTACACTTCATCCCTATTCCTCTATGTACATCCACATGTTTCTACCCCAGACCTTCTTGTTCTTAGTCTTTCAGTATTTTCATTCTAGGAAAAAAGACGGCCAGGCAATCACTGTTTCCTGTGATTCCGTAGTCTAACCTCAGGTCAGTTATATTTCCACACAAAGTGAACGGCCAGGTGTACTACCTGAAGCTCTGCCCATTGGGAAGACTTTCCCTCACTACTGTCTTTCAAAACCACTCCTCTGTGTGGCTGTAATGCAGCTGCTGTCTGTTTTCAGCTTGCACCTACATACTGATCTAACCCATCTGAGAACCAGACAAACGCTTTTGTCTTTTCCTTCAGCTGGTCATATCAGATCCCCATAGAGCCACAGGTGTGAGCTGAGGGAGCGCATGGGTGCAACAGTTTGGATTGGTGGGGGAGGGGAAATCTGGGCTGCCTGCTCATGCACTTTGCTGGTGCCCTCTGGTCCTATGTGTATTCGGTTCTGGATGTAACACTTCCATCTTACATTTTTGCTAGGCCTGCTCAACATTATGCTTCCTGGGTCTGTTAGGACCCAGCTCATAATGGGCATTTCTGGCCACATGGTGACATAGTATCCCATGTTCAGTTACTCCACATTTACCAGGGTCCAGCAGTGCACTAGTTTTCTCTCAAAAAGAGTATAATTCTCTGCTGCAGATGGCACGGCCTTGCTCCAGAAGCCCAGGCTCCTGCATTGTAGTTCTCCCCCGGGTCTTCCTCAAACACTACGCAATGTTTTTTCTACCAGTGACAACTCCAACACCAAAGGGTCTGGATCACTGCAGAACTCTCCTGCTCTGCAGCTAGAGCAGTATTCCTCAGTGGGGAATATTTGCCCCAAAAGCAAATATTCTCAAAAGAGAATATTCACAAAAAGGCTCGCTAGGTTTTGTGCTTCCTTCTTTGTGAAAGGAAGTGCAAGGTGAAATAATTTGTCTTTTACTTTAGAGAAGATGTCCTGGCAGGTTCCTGAGCACTAATTCCTAAAAATGTTACTGATACGTCAGACCTCATCTCCTGGCCTCTAGAGCATGTGTGTCTGATGAAGGCGTTCAGCATGCTAGCCACCTCTTGCTTACCTGCTCTCATCAGGGTAATGCCATCAATGTAATGGAACAATGTGATGTTTTACAAGAAGTCCAGACGATCCAGATCTCTTCAGACTTCATTATGACAGAAGATGGGAGATAAGACCGGAGGAAAAACTGTAAATGTATGTTGTTGCTCATCTCATGTGAATGCAAACTGTTTCTGATCTTCCTTTCTGCTTAAAACACTTATAGTGGTTTTAGTCTTCCTGGCCAAATTCTTATTGACACACTTTATAATACTGCCAAAGCTAGCATCAAAGTTCTTATCTCTAAAAGACATTTGACTAGAATAAATATTAAAGCTTACATAAGGGGTGGAATCTCTAAGCTTAAAAAGAATAGAAGAAAATAACAAGAAAAAAGACATTTACATATGCAAATTACATTAAAAATTTTACAACAGAAAAAGCACTGAAAAAAATGCACTAAGCATGAAACTCAGGGTACTATTAAAAAAATTAAAAAATCAAAAGTGATTGGAAATAACAAGGACATAAACAATAGTAAATAAATCAGAAAGTAAAAAAGCAGTAGACTTAATAAAACAACAAGTCATCTTGAGAAATAAAAAGAGAGTAAAACAACTTTAGAGGAAAGCTATTCAAGTGGACATTTTTAGGGGGCTGCCAACATCCACTATCCTTCACAGCAGGCTCCTGATTTTCCTTGTGGAATTATCTTCCTTCTATTATGGGTTGTTTTGGTGGGAGAGTAATTCCAGACACCTGCCTTCCAAAATGGAGGTTGAGAAATCCAGATCCAGGCTCTTTCCATTCCCTTCTGTAGCCCAGAGGCTGATGGAAGAGTCTCGCTGGTGTCTGAGTCTTGAGTTAGGTGATAAGAGAACAGAGGAGACAGCTGGGAATTAGTTACTGCAGCAGCAGCAGCAGCAGCGTACTGGTCAGACAGTTTCAGCCATAAGATAAGCTTCCTGTGATTCCTTTTGGCCTTCTTGAGAATCCTCAATTCTTAAGCCGAGTTTCCTAGCCTCCTGTCAATACTGTGAACATCCTATTATCTCTCAAATGAATTTTCTTTTACCAAAGTTAGCCAGAGTCAGTTTGGTGGCTTGTCACTTAGAACGTTTGGTGATAAAAATCACATGCAACTTATCAAATAATCTGAAGATCTGGATGAAAATTTCAAGGAAAATAGAATTATTTCCTTGAATTACTTCCATGAATCTTCCTGAATCCATATTCCATGAATATTCCTTGAATCTATTTCCTAGAATTATTTCCATAGAATATACAATGGTGAAACACTAGAGGCAAACAATTAGAGTCTGGAATAAAATCAAGGATGCCATATCCCAATATTGTTATTATCAGAGGCAATAAACATAAAAAATGATAAATATTGGAGCAAAAGAGACAAAAGTGCCATTATTTGCAGATGAAATGATTGTCTACTTAGATAAAAAAATTCAAAAACTATTAGACCTAATGTCAAAGTTTATTAAAGCAACTAGATACAAAATCAATATAAGAAAATGATTTTCTTATTTGTCATCAATTAACAAAAAGAAAACGTGGTGGATGCCTCACAATATACACTTTATATCTCTTCCCTCCCATCTCAGTGAGAATAAATATAAAAATAATTAGGGGCCAGCCCCATGGCCGAGTGGTTAGGTTTGTGTGCTCCGCTTTGGCGGCCCAGGGTTTCGCCGGTTGGAATCCAGGGCATGGACATGGCACCGCTTGTCAAGCTATGCTGAGGTGGCATCCCACATGCCACAACTAGAAGGACCCACAACTAAAAATACACAGCTATGTACTGGGGGGCTTTGGGGACAAAAAGGAAAAATAAAATCTTAAAAATAAATAAACATATAAATAAAAATAATTACATTGGACCATTGAAGAATGAAGAGGGATTCCACGAGCAGGCTATAAACAGTGAAGAATTGCTGGAAGATATACAATAGAGAGGAAGAGATTAACTGCAAAACTTAAAGAAGTTTAAGAAATGTCAAACTCATACAGGTGACAACAAGGTACCCAGAACAAGGGAGACCACAAAATGAATAGAGAAGTGGAATGTGAGAGAAGTGATGGGCCAGGTAGTCAATGAAATAAAGGGCTGAAGAGTTGAGCTAGTACCCCATCCTTGGGGCTCTTACCTCAGTATCTGCTCCAGGCTGAGGCCTACAGAGGGGGCTGCAGCACGTGTTCTTATCTAGCGCCTCTTGAGTGGACCCGGGCAGGAGGAGCAGAGCAGCATTCCAGGCTCACACAACCTCATGGGGCTCAGGGAAGCTCTGCACTTGAATCACAAGCTATGGGCAGGCTCCGGAGGCCTCACATGCCACTCCACCACTCTCCTGCACAGTCATCCACACAGAGCTCCAGTCAGGATCCATACAGCCAGGAGGCACAGCACAATAAAAAGAAAAATGAAGACCAGCCTCATTATGATTATGGGTGCAAAAATTCTAAATAAAATATCAGCAAACTGATGCAAACAAAATCTTAAGTAGGATTCAGCAGTCTGTTAGTAACAATGTTAACACTTATTTGACAACTATTTTATGCACACACATATATGTATATAGGCTCAGGGAAATAAGTAATTATGTTAATGTCATAATTTCAGGGAAGAGACATAAGTTTAAATTCAAAGAAGCAAAACTCTGTGATCTCACCTGTGAAGTGGAAATATTAGTATGAACCATGATTTATTTTTTCTTTCTAAAAATTATGTATCTCCTGTCTCTGTCCACGGACAAAGCCTAGAAGTCATGATAATCCAGAAGCAATGACCACCCCTTAGTGCCCAGATTGTGTTTTCTACACACCATTTCCTACTAAAAGAAACAAGGGCTCCTTGGAGAGAGTGCTGGGGCAGGAAATGTGTAAGATAAGTCAGAGAGACACCTTGCGTCAGAAAGCAAGTATGCTATCAGGGGCTACTGAGTGGCATTAAAAGACATAGGACTCAACTTGAAGGGGCTCTCACAAGCCAAACATGAAAAAATTTAAGCATTAAAAAGGACAATAATAACAAAGGATGAAACAATAAGGGAAAGTTCTTTATTTCAGCTAGTAATTGCTGGAGAAATGATAAAATTAGCAAACCACTATTCAGCAACTCCTATGAACGAATGACTCCAGGTGATGATCACCAATAGCTGCTGAAGGCATCAGGTGACAAGTTGGTGGGAACTTTCTAACAGATGGATCAGCTGATACACTGATGGATCTGAACATCACCCGAAGAGAGACAACCAGACGTCATGTGCTTCCTCATGTGATGCTACAGGAAGTATTTCTGCAAAAAAAAAAAAAAGAACCTGAACATAATCTAGATCTCACTGACAGTCAACCAGCAGTTTACAGGAAATACAGAGGATAGAGAAACATGGTTTATACACCAAGATGACAGGAAATTCTATAAGATAAAATTCTCAGTTTCTTCAACAAATACCTGCCATGAAAAAAAACAGGGACAGGAAATTGATAAAGAATAAAAGAGGACTTCAAAGACACATCAATCAAATGTAACGCATGGATAGGGTTTGGACCGTCACTTAATCAAATTAACTGTTAAAAAACATTTTGAAATAATTTGGGAATATTCTACATGGACTATTACTAACTGATACTAAGGAATTATCACTTTTGTTAAGTGTGATAATGGTATTGTGCTTATGTTTAAAAAGTCCTACGCTGGAGACTTATGGATGAAATGCTATCTGGGTCTTAGTACAAAATAATCTAGCAAAAAAAAAATACACATATATATAAATAATAATGAGAGGATAAATGAAAGAAGATTTGCAAGAGCAGTAACTGTTGAAGCTGGATTATTGGAACATAGAGGTTAATTATACTGCTCTCTCAACTTTTATGTTTGAAATTTTAATAATAAAATTTGTTTAAAAAGTAAGTCATGAGTTCATACTGTTTCCAATTTAATGGCAACTTGGCTAAGTCCTTTTAAAATTTTGTTCCAATATAAAGTTTTTCAGCCCTTTCTCTTCTCTGTCATTCACAACAACTCCTTACCAAGTATCTTAATTAGATTTTCTAACCTTTCAGTAACACAGTTGGATGTATGCCTTCTTAGATCTTGGATCCTATAATTAGGCTATACTTGTACCTTTTCTCTTTTTTCCCCAATCTTTTTTATAACATCTTTGTCTATCATTCTATAGCCATCTGTTGACAAGCAGAATCTTAATGGATGGGCAAAAATTCGAACTATAAAGAAGAGTTCAGTTCAGTTCAACAAACACTTGTTGGGCATCCATTTGATTTTACAGGCACTGTGCTACGCGCTTAGACACTGAAGCATCTACGCCTTAGCTCCCACTCTTCGGCGCCCTCAGTCTAGTGCAGATTTCTCAGCTGGGGTTCTGCAGGTGCCATTAGGTATTCTGTGAGAGGTAGCTGCTAGGGGTTCCAGAAGATACTGGAATTTAAAAAAAAAGTTTCCTTCTCCATGCATTGCAGTGATGAATAGTGGTCAAGCAGCCCTGTTAATAATTTTGCTAGAGGTCCTTCACCTATATGGTGGTGCTCTGCATGACTGTGTCATTTGACTGAGTCCTTGGTCAGTTTCTGATGTGAGACGGGGGAGGCTGTTGATAACTGGTGAGTGCTCAGTTGTACTAAGGGAGGGATGATAGGTTGATGCCATCAGCATCTCCCTCTTGAACTATCTCCTATCCTCCCCCAGCCTCCCCTTACATAGCCAACCCAGCGCAAACACACCTTCCTGATAGGATAGAAAACCAAGGGGGTAACTTCGAATTCTAAGGAAAGACTGCAAGTGCTGCGACTGAGACGCCTCCCTGCTGCTTTGTTCTGTTGTAAATATCGCCAACATGGAGCGCGCAGGTTACAGTGAATTTATTTTAAAGATTTCATTTTTCTGTTGTGATTTCCTTTCAGCTTGCTTGTTGTACACTTTATTAGCACCTGTTTGACAAACATGACAGAGTCTAATGTGGTGATTTTTGAAAATGAAGTAGGAGACGGAAAAGAGCCCTAGGCCTAGGTCATTCTGGTAGAAGTTAGTGAGAAAGAATCACAACTTAGAAACGCAGCAATGGCTCTGGCAAACCGAAAAGACACAATCACAAATCACAGCAGAGGAACAAATAATTTTAAACGGCCTTTGGAATCCCAGAGTAAAAAATTTGTTAAAAAAAAAAATTCACCTTATAAAAAGGTCCAGAAGGCAAGTTATTAAGTAGCAGAACTTTTTGACTAAAAAAAGAAAAAGCCTCACAGTTGTAAGAACCTCATAATTCCAGTATGTAAATTTATAGAGACTAAAATGCTAGGATTAAGACATAATATGAGAAACTAAAATGGTTTCACTGTCAAAGTTTGATAAATTGCTGTAATTAATGACGTCACATGATGTCAAAGAGATTTTTGTGTAATGAACCAAAAAATAACTTCTGTTGACGGATCAACAGATTTCAACAAGAAATGTCATACGGTAGCACTTGTAAGATATGCATATTGTGGTAAAATTCAAGAAATTTTTTCTGCTATAAAATGCTGCCCCAAACAAACAAGAAAGGCCAAGAGACATTTACTATTTTGTCTTCAGATTGGAAACAAAAGGTACATTTTGGAGGAACTGGGTTGGCATGTGCACTGATGGTATCTCATTAATGATTTAAGCATTTCTCCATGAGAGGGTTCACTTTCAAAAAAAAGAATATCCTTGTGTATTCACAACTCACTGCTTTCCTCCCAGAGAGGTGCTGGTGTTGGACACTTTTGGAGCTGAAATGAAAAAACTTCTAGATGCCACTGCAAAAATGGCTAAAGTTATTAAAGGACAGTTCCCTCAAGAATGTTTTTTGGGGGGCTGGCCCCATGGCCGAGTGGTTAAGTTTGCGCGCTCCGCTTTGGCAGCCCAGGGTTTTGCCAATTTAGATCCTAGGCACAGACATGGCACTGCTCATTAAGACACACTGAGGCAGTGTCCCGCATAGCACAACCAGAAGGACCTACAACTTACTGGGGGGCTTTGAGGAGAAGAAAAAAAAAAGAAGAATGGCAACAGACGTTAGCTTGGGGCCAATCTTGAAAAAAAAAATGTTTTTTTTGGTGAGGAAGATTGGCCCTGAGCTAACATCTGTTGCCAATCTTCCTCTTTTTGCTTGAGAAAGATTGTCGCTGAGCTAACATCTGTGCCAATCTTCCTCTGTTTCATGTGGGACACCACCACAGCATGGCCTGACAACCGGTGCTATGTCTGCGCCCAGGATCCAAACCCATGAACCCTGGCCTGCTGAAGTGGAGCATGTGAACTTAACCACTACTCCACTGGGCCAGCCCCAAGAATGTCTGAAAAACTGTGTGAAAATCCAGACAAAGACTACATAAATCTCCAGCCACATACATAAAATCTTATGGCTTAGGAGACCATTTGTTCCAGAGAAGCCAGCTTCCATGTCATGAGAATGCTTAGGCACTCTGTAAAGAGGCCCATGTGGCAAGGAACTGAGTCTTCTGGGCAATAGAGAACGTTAGCTTGCCAGGCACAAGTAAACCACCTCAGAAACTGATCCTCCATCCCCTGTCAAGCCTTCAGATGACTACAACCTCATGAGACCTGAGCCAGAAGCACCAAGCCAAGCTGTGCCTGAAATTTTGACCTACAGAGATTATGCAAGATAACGTTTATGGTTTTAAGTCACTAAGTGCTGGGTAATTTGTTACACAGTAAGAGAAACTAATATAGATTTTGGTTCTTAATAGAAAGTTTGAGCTGAAAAGTGAACTGTGGGAAAGTTCACTTCAAGAAAATAGTAGGCTAGATTTTGCCAAATGCTTTGAAGATCAAGAACGGCTGCAGAAACTAACATACTTAGCAGATATTTTCCATCACACGAACTAGTTGAATGAGTATCTTCAAGGGCCCAGAGAAAATATTTTTATTTCAAGTTACAAGATATTTGGTTTTAAATGGAAATTGAATCTTTGGGAAAATCATATGGCAAAAAAGAAATCCTGAAATGTTTCCACTGCTGCTTGCACTTGAGTGTGAGGTGATTTAGGGTCGGAATAACACAAGAAGTGTGGCAGTGACACCAGGAGGCCTGTAATGGCAGTACAAAGTACAAAGCTACCTTAGAAAGGATTAATAGAAATTGATAGCTTTGGATAAAAGAGTGCAACCAAGGCTGTGGTGGGGGTGGTGATAATGACATTAGAGAAGAGAGTGCTCAAAGGTCAGAGTGTAAACATTCAGACCCCAAGAGTATGAGGCTGCCACGAGGACAAACAGGGACTCGGGATGATGAACAATTTGGGAAGAGAATAGGAGGCAGCAGAAAAGGACTGAGGGAAGTGAGAATCCAAGGTTCTGGCTTGTCCCTCTAACTAGCTGGGGAAGTTACCTCACTTCTCCGAAAGTCGGTTCCTTACCCATAAAATAAAGGGGCACCAGATAATCTGGAAGGTTCCACAAAAGTTCAATGGTTTCATCACACTGAGTTGGAGATAACAGTGGAACACCACATCGAGGTAGAAACTGAACGTAAACGTTAAACGACACAAACAAAGCAAAACAGAGCAGCAGCTATGAATAATCCCACCTCTGTATGATGTACAGAATTTAAAGTACATTTGTCAAATCTGAATAAAAAATGCATTTATCACATTCCTTTTATAAATAGATAGGACTATTAGTTCCTTTCTCAAGAAGCTTATAATTTCGCGTAGATGACATATTGTGATTCCTGAAATTTCCATAGTGAAGGTCACAAAGTCCTTTCAAAATCAAAATAACCCTCTGAAACAGGCACCACTCCCCACCCTCTTTCAGAGCAGGTGGTCGGGTGCGTCAAATGTCAAGTTAAGGTCTCAGAAGCCGCGGGTGTAAGAGACCGTCAAACTCAACGCACAGGAGGTCGCTGGCTTTCTTCGGGAGAGAAGTTTCCGCGGAGGGAGGAGCCAGATGTCAGGGCTTAAAGGCAGACGGGGAGAGGGCTTGTGGTTTAGACGGTTCACAAGCTCAAAACCTACTCGAATGAATAAACTATCTGGTACAAAAGATAAAGATAGGGTTTGGCTTTCTATCGGAGAACACAGTTTCTCTAAAAGTACACACGCGCGCGCACCTCCCTCTTGAGCTAGTCAAACCACAGGACCACAGCACGGCCGGGACCAGCCCACGACCGCGCGCACTCGCAGGACCCGGACCAACCAACCTCGGCAGAGCCACAGGAACCCCCGGCGTGCTCCCGCCGCGGCCACACCCCCTCGGGGCCGAGCGCCCCTCCAAGGCCCTCAGGGCTGTTGGCTGCGCAGCCGCGGGAGCTGACGACCACCTGAGGCGCCAGCTGACCACCTCGCAGTGCGAGAAGCAGGGCACACGCAGGCCAAACCCGCCCGGGAAACCCGGGCGCCGGGAGAGGGCGGACCCCTGACGCCGCCGTCACCAGGGCAACCCTGCGGGCACTTCCTGCAACGTCGCGGCAAAGGACGCCGCTATTACACGTCACTTCCTCTGCTCGTCGGTAGGCAAGTCGAGCTGACTGCCGTAAATGAGCGGTTGAAGTCAGATATTATTGCTCCTCTTCCGCCGCTGACGGCTGTTTTGGAAAGGTGACAGCGGCGCCGGTTTCGCCAGTGACTGGCTTTTTTGGTAAACCAGTTATTCGACTTTGTGCTCCTCCTCCCGCCCCTTGTACTGGTACGGTGGCCGAGGAGGCTCGCGTGCGGCGGAAGTACCGGGCGGTGGGTCTGAGCGCTAGGGCCGGAGGCGCACGTGGCGCCGGTGAGTGGACGTGGGGAGCAGGAGGATCCGAGGATGGTGGCGGACGCGGACTCACCTGCGGCGGGAGCAGGGGAGGAAGGGAGGGATACGCGTGAAGACCGCGCGGTCTGCTGGGGGAGGAGGTACCAACCAGGGGTGGCGAGGCCGCCGAGTGGTCGCGGCTCTGGCAGGGCAGTGACACTCCTCACCCTTCGGGGTCCTCGCTGGCGGCCTGTCTGTGGGCGAGGTGGCAGGGTTGATACGATGGTTGTCCCCTGTTACTGGGTTCTGACCGGGGCTCGGAGGAGGTGCGTGGTGTGCACAGTGAGCACGAGGCGCGCGCCGTGTTTCCCTCCAGGGAGGAGCGAGCATGTCTTTCCGAGGCGGAGGTCGTGGGGGTTTTAATCGAGGTGGAGGTGGCGGCTTCAATCGCGGCGGCGGCAGCAACAACCACTTCCGAGGTGGAGGCGGCGGTAGTTTCAGAGGCGGCGGCGGCGGCCGGGGAGGATTCGGACGAGGGGGTGGCCGCGGAGGTTTTAACAAAGGCCAAGACCAGGGACCTCCGGAACATGTGGTTTGTATGTCGGCCTCGAAGCTTAGCCTACCTGGGGGCAGGGTGCGGTGGGGTAGCGGGGCGGGTGCGGTGGGTTTGTTATTAGTAAGTTTGACGGGAGTCAGGTGCTGGAAGATGGATCCAGCAGCTGTTATACTGAGGGTGCTGCCTGGTTGGGGAGGCAAGTCTGTGGAGATGCTGCAAACTGACTTGTAATCGTGCTGTAGCATATAAGGGGGAGATCGAGAAAGCCGAGGGTCACTTAGAATGCATCATGGAGGTGGAATTTGAGCTTGGGCTGAAAGGAAGAGGCTAAATAGGTAGTACTGTGTGCTCACCTCTAGTGTCCCCATTTTACAGATAAGAAAACTCACTCCGAATTAAGTTTTTTTGCTAGGATTATAGTTAGTGATAAATGATCAGTAAGTGATATATTTGAGATATAAAGCCAAGTTTTCTGGCCTAGAAGCCCGTGCTTTCAATTACAAAAAAAGTGAGAAAAAAAATTTTTGCTTAGAAGGGAAACTACAGAGGGGAAGTCAAGAAGAAGACCTAATTAGAGCAGTTTTGGGGTAATTATCAATGAAGTGAAAGTCACTGGAAGTGAGAGAGATTTGACAGTAGAAGCCTACATCAAATGGGAAAATGGGTGAACAGGGTCTAATATAAGGAATAGGTTGGACCAGGGTGCAAGATGGTTTGAAAACGGCGCTGGCCAGAGCGACAGGTCCTATCCCACAAGCCATTGCTACAGTCCATCCGAGACCCATTGAGACCATAGTGGAAGTGAGAAGAAGGAAGGGTTAGATATGAGAGAGATTTCAATGGAAACAAACTCAGAAGAACTTGGCTAATACTGGGAATAAAAGGTTCCAGGGTTTGGGGCTTGAGTGATAGGGATGGAAAGTTGGTTTTGCAGCAATGTGGTGAATATTTTAGTTTGGGTTGACAGTCAATTAAAAATAAAAGTAGTTATTTTGATATTCCAGATTTCCCTGAAAAAGAGATTCCAGACTTCACAAAAAATTGATGACGATGTGGTAGCGGGAAGTTATAAAATGAGAGGAGAAAAAGACAGGAGAACAAGAAAGACTGATTTGTAATTAGGCATTGGGGAGAAGGAAGAAGAGACAGTAGAAGGAAGCAGAGTGTTTAATCAAATAATAATAGTTATAATAAAATAACTGTTATAGGTCTCAATATGTGAGGCAGTTTTCTAAGCGCTTAATCCTCACAATACCGTATATTAGGTGTCGATACTGTTGTTAGCCCTATATTAAAGATGAGGACACTGCAGCAGAGAGAAGATGAGAACGTTACCCTAGATCACATAGCTAGTATGTTGTGGCGTTGGTTTACCAACGCGGGAAGGCTTTTCTGCCTCGGAGGGGAGCAGATAGGGTGAAAGCCCAGGTAGCCAAGAAGAAAGCTTCCAGAAGAGGTTGGTCAATATCATTGGAAATTGTTTTATATTTTAACATTGTCTTGTCTTGTTTCAGTGTTAGGAGAGTTCCTGCATCCCTGTGAAGATGACATAGTTTGTAAATGTACCACAGATGAAAATAAGGTGCCTTATTTCAATGCTCCAGTTTATTTAGAAAACAAAGAACAAATTGGAAAAGTGGATGAAATATTTGGACAACTTAGAGACTTTGTATCCTTTTTAATTGGAAGATCTACTGATCCCATTCAAAGGTTACTATTTGCTTTTTCTAGAGCTAAGTATTGATTAAATTAAACTTGCTGCTTCGTTAAATTGCACAGTGTATGCTAAGATTGAACCATAAAGGAGAATCAAGAGAGGAGAATGTATTTTCATATATGTTGAAAAGATAGGCCCCATAAAGGCGACTTCCTTTCTAGGTTTTAGAAATAATTGCTGTTTGGATAAGTGCTACAGGATTGAGGTACTTTGCTTTGGATATGATGATGCCACTGAATAGTATGGTGGAATTGGAAGTTTTGAAACAAAAACTTGAGTTCCTCCTGGAAACTCAATTCGTACTTTTCCTGAATGTTTCCATATATTTGAACCTGTTTTTAAAATTATGTGTGAATTCAGAAGTTACCTTCTTTGATCTTAATTGCTTATTCCTTAATAAACTTAATAGTATTTTTCAGTTAAATTGTCAGAAAACATGAAGGCCTCTTCCTTTAAAAAACTACAGAAGGTGAGTCAAGTTTGTGATCCCTAGGATTCTTGATTTTATAAGCAAATGGCCCCCTAGGACGGTCCTACGTAGAGCACTCAAGACTCCTTCAGTGTGTCACTGGTGATGCTCTTACAGTGAGACATTCTGTGCTTCAGATGGTGAACTTTCTGATGCTTGAAAGTGATTTAATGTAGACTTTCAGAAAGTATTCCTTGCTCACATTAGCAGATTCTGTGACTGCTAGAGTATGTGTTTTAGTTTATATGGAACTCTTTTGTTGAAAAGCCTGCATGACCAAACATTCTAAGTAAAACCTTAAATTATAAAACTTATATTGAAGTCAGATATTAAGTGATTTCACATGTATTTCAATGACATTATGATATATGCTGTGAAGAAGAAATATAGGTTGCTATGACAATGTTAATATTGGGACCAAATTTAGTGTGTTGGCTTTCTGGGGAAGTGCGCATGAAGCTGAGTCCTAAAAGTTGATCAGGATGATTCCCAAACCTGCTTGCACATCAGAATTATCTGAGGGAGCTTTTAAGATGTATTTCTAGGTTCTGCCTCTAGAAATTTGACCCAGTAGGTTTTAGGCATGTAGGGACCAGGATTCGGTTTTAAAAAGGAAAGCTCCTGGAGGACGGCCCGGTGGCATAGTGGTTGAGTTCACATGCTCTGCTTTGGCAGCCTGGGGTTCACAGGTGCAGATCCCAGGTGCAGATGTGAGCCCTGCTCATCAAGCCATGCTCTGGTGGCATCCCACATAAAATAGAGGAAGATTGGCACAGATGTTAGCTCAGTGGCAATCTTCCTCACAAGAAAGAAAGGAAAGCTCCTGGGTGACATTGATGTGGTTAGGCTAGCCCTTGGGAACCACCACGCTGGTCAAAGAGGAGGAGGAAGTGCATCACAAGAGAGAAAAGAGTATGTGCAAGTCTCTGAGACAGTCGGCCACTTCAGGGATCCCGGAAAGGCAGAGGTACAGCTTGGACGAGAACATTTAGGAGGAGTGGGGAAAGTTGTGATTAAGAGTGGAGGAGTGCGCAGGGGCTGGGTTACTCAAGGCCTGCAGGTTATGGGAAAGAGTTTAGACTTTAGTTTCAGTTTTGCTTTTAAATATCAGGGCAAATACAGTTAAATTTATACTTAAAAACAGCACTAGAAAAATAAAAGAGCACCTGGAAAGGGGTCAGTGCTGTCTGTGAAGGGCCTGAGGGTGTTGCCTCAGTCCTGAAAGAGACGGTGTTTTGGACTAGGGTAGTGACAGTGGACGTGGAGAAAAGTGGTAGGTTTATGAGAGGTAGGGAATAGGGTCGATAGGTCTTCGTAGTTGATTAGCTGTTAAAGTTGAAGTGAAAAATATCACCCTCTTTCAGATGTGTGATTTCACCCTCTCTGGATGGTGCCACCCTTTAGTGAAATGGGCAACACTGGAGAAGAAGGGACTAGGGGAAGATAAGGAGTTCAGTTTTGAACATGAGTTTGGAGCACTTGTGAGAGATTCACATCGTTAGAAGCTCAAAGGAAGAGTCTGGACTAGAGATAGAACTGGGAAGGTGTCCTTGTAGACACAGTCTGGAAGAAAGCGTGAGAAGAAAAGAGCTTTGGGACACCACCTAAATTTTTGTGTCTGTTAGTGGAGACTGAGAGGGAGCTGCCAGTAGAGGAGGAGGAGGCACACCAGGAGAGTCAAGAGAACAGAATGTTTCCAAGAGGAAGTGCTCAGCTCTGGCAAAGTGCTGCTGCCAAGTGTTCGTTGGATTTAGTGACATGGAGTACACAGGTCACAAAGCCAACGGTGGTGGGCTCAGAAGCCAGATGGGAATAGGAGATATTCTGGGGACATAGACTCTAGACCAGTGCTGTCCAATTGAATTTTCTGTTTTTTTTTTTTTTTTTAAAGATTTTATTTTTTCCTTTTTCTCCCCAAAGCCCCCCGGTACATTGTTGTGTATTCTTCGTTGTGGGTTCTTCTAGTTGTGGCATGTGGGACGCTGCCTCAGCGTGGTCTGATGAGCAGTGCCATGTCCGCGCCCAGGATTCGAACTGACGAAACACTGGGCCGCCTGCAGCGGAGCACGCGAACTTAACCACTCGGCCACGGGGCCAGCCCCCGAATTTTCTGTTTTGATGGAAATTCCCACCCAGTACAATAGCCACTAGCCATTTGTAGCTATTGAGCACCTAAAATGTGGCTAGCGTGACTCAGAAATTGGATTTTTTTTGTATGTGAGAAAGATTGACCCTGAGCTAACATCTGTTGCCAGTCGTCTTCTATTTTGTATGTGGGTTGCTGCCATAGCATGGCTTGATGAGCAGTGTGTAAGTCCCCACCTGGGATCCGAACCTGTGAACCCTGGGCCACTGAAGTGGAACATGTGAAATTAACCACTGTGTCACTGGGCCTGCCCTGGAAACTGAATTTTTAATTGTTAATTATTTTAAATCTAAATAACCACATGTAGCTAGTGGCTGCCATATTGGACAGTGCAGCACTAGACAATATTTTTGAGAGGATTGGCTCTGAAGGGAAGAAAAGTGATAAGGTGATATTTACAGAGCCATTCAGACATCCTGTTGTAAGTAGTACATTATAGTTTTGAAACCCCCATGCATGTTTTGTGTAAAATTGTGAAATACATATATTTCATTGTGAAAAATACCGTAATTAACCCCAAGTATAGGGTGGATTTAGTTTCTGTGTATCTCCATTACCTTGTGTGTTCAGTAAATAGTTATTGATTTGATCCTTTATTAAAGTCTTGAAATAGCTAGTATGTCAGTGCTTTATTTTGGATTTCAGTGCTAAATTTTTAATAGTTTCATTTTCTTTATTTGTTATTTGAGTGAAAATGTAGTTAATTTTTGGAAGGCATTATCTGTTTCTAAAGAGAAATGAGATTGAATGGGTTTTGGGTTTTGTTTGTAAGCGTGTAATGCTGATTGTTTGCCAAAGGTTCAGTGCTTTATATACATTGCTCCTTTGATCCTCACAAGGACTTTGTGAGATAGGTGCTTTATTATGTTAATTTTGCAGATCAGAAAACTAAGGCACAAAGAAATTAAGTCTTTGCCCAGGGCCACACAGTAGTAAGTACAGTAGTTCCCCTTTATCCGCAGTTGCGCTGTCTGTGGTTCCAGTTACCGCTGTCTGTGGTTCCAGTTACCGGTCATCAGCTGTGTCTGAAAATATTAAATGGAAAATTCCAGAAATTAAAAATTCATAGTTTTGAATTGCATGCCGTTCTGAATAGCGTGATGAAATCCTGCGCTGTTCCGCTCTGTCCCGTCTGAGACGTGACTCATCCCTTTGTCCAGCGGATCCGCGCTGTAGACACCACCCACCTGTCAGTCACCCAGTAGCCTTCTGGGTTCTTATATTGGCTGTCATGATATTGTGGTGCTTGTGTTCAAGGAATCCTTATTTTGCTTAGTAATGGCCCCAAAGTGCAAGAATAGTGCTGTTGGCAATTCAGATATGCCAAAGAGAAGCCGTACAGCGCTTCCTTGGAATGAAAAGGTGAAAGTTCTCGACTTAATAAGAAAAGGAAAATGTTACAAAACCTGAAGTGAGTTTGCTCACCCGTTGCGCAGCAAGCCAATCTCTGACACTGGGGGGTGGTGGAAGAAAGTAGGAACTTTATTTTTGCACAGCGCTGAGCAAGGAGAGAGGGCAGCTAACGCTGAAATCCCAAACTCCTCGAAAAGCTAAAAGGAAGGGTTTTTATTTGGGGCTTTAGGTAGGGGAGGGGGAGCATATGGCCTTGCAGGTCGGAGCTTTCCCACCAGCCTGTCTTTGGCCTTGAAACACTTGCAGAGAGGAGGGAGCCCGTGACCTTGCTGGTCAGCAGCTTTCCCAGCAGCTCGTATCTCTTTGTGGGGAGGAGATGGTCCAAGTGCTTGTCCTTGACAGTGTCTGTCTCCGTGGAGGATGGCGGATTCTGGAGCCAGGAAGCCAGAGAGTAAGCAGGGAATGAGTGTTTTGGTTTTAACCCCATATATGCTGGTTTAATGTGGGGAAACTGATATCAGGGTCGATATCAAAAAAACCGCATGCTGAGGTTGCTAAATCTATGGTAGTTTTTATTATAGTATATTGTGGTCAATTGTTCTATTTTATTGTTAGTTATTGTTGTTAATCTCTTACTGTGCCTAGTTTATAAATTAACCTTTATCATAGGGATGTATGTATAGGAAAAAACATAGTGTGTATAGGGTTCGGTATGATCTGTGGTTTCAGGCATCCACTGAGGGTCTTGGAACACATCCCCCCGTGGACAACGGGGCACCACTGTAGTAGGGTGGGGATTTGAACCCAGGCAGTTGTGTAGGTTCTTAGTGATTATACTATGCTACCCCCAGGTAACCGCACTAACTGTTTCTATCACATTTCCAGTTTTATATAGACCCTTATAAGCTGCTGCCACTGCAGAGGTTTTTGCCTCGACCTCCGGGTGAGAAGGGACCTCCGAGAGGTGGTGGCAGGGGGGGTCGAGGAGGAGGAAGAGGAGGAGGCGGCAGAGGTGGCAGAGGCGGTAAGTTATTTGTGGGGGAGAAGTTCTACTGAGATTTCATGTAATGCAATTAATTTTGTACATAGGCAAATCTCCCTTATGTTTACCTTTTTTTTAGTAAAGCTATTTTCAAATTTTGGCAGTTTGCTATAGTAATAAGGCTTAGTTTCAGTAACTTATTTAAAAAGAAAAAACCTAATAAAGTATATTGTGAGAGATTTCATCTCTTTGGGTTACTCATGTTTTGTTGGGCATTTTACGAAGTCTAGGATTATCTTAATTAAATTTTAGTTTTTTAGTGAATGTCATTGAGTGTTAATTGTATGCCAAGAGCTGGTCATATATTCTTTTAATATCCTTGTATATTCCTCAATATTCAGGAAAACCTTGAGAGGTAGGTGATATCTTTATTTTATGGATGAGGAAATGGAGGCTTACAAAAGTTAATTTTCCCAATTGCCCGCCCAGAAATAAAACCCCTATCTTCTGATGTCATGTCAAAGACTGTTACCAATAAATGCAGTGCTTTGATTTCAGTATTTTGACGTATGTTTCCCCAAAGCTTTCGTAATTCATCAAGGGCAGCCAGATGGTGAGCAGGGGTGGGTGGGCTGGGGTGCAGCACTGAGTGTGCTTAGATCTGTGAATGGTGATGGGTGAGTGACAGGATGGTGGGCAGAGCCAAAAGCAGGGAGTAAGAGGAGCTGAAAATGGGGGTTGGACTGCTTCTGTCCTGGAGCAGGAAAGAGAGAACTCTATTTCCATCTTTGCCTCTCTCAGTTTAATTATTTCACTCTATAAATGTGTTTTTTTGGATGTAGATAGCTAGGAGATAATCTTTTAAGAGACTGAACATATTTATTTCTTAAGTATTTTGGGGAGTACCCTTTTGAGAATCTGATGAATGGAGGTCCCCTCATTCCCATTCTGTATTTGGTCTCATATATAACATTAAAAAATATTCACAACTCTAGTTTATTTTGTTAAAACCTGTATGTGTTATACTAGTATTTTGGAAGTATATTTTTGTTTTCTCTTTTTATCATTTCTCCTTTTATAATTCATCAATCCTTAGAAAGTTAGCCCCCAAAATAAGTAAAAATGGAGACTGAAGTGAGAAGCCAAATATGTGTTGGATAATATAAAAATGCTTTAAAAATTTAAAATGTCATGGCTCATCAACGTGAGCATCCGTGGTGGTCCATATGCAGCTCAGTTGACCTTAAACATTGTGTTTGTTGTAGTATCCCCAGAGCGAAACCACTCATATCTGCTACCCTTAGTTCCTGGGATGAAAAGCCTTAGTTCAAACAAAAAAGTATTTACCATGAGCAAAGTTGAGGTTCTCATACATTTAACAGTAGGGCTAGATCGAACTTAAAGTAACAAGCTTTCCTAATTCATTAAAACAGAATACTTGTTTAAAAGTTGTAAGCTAGGGTTTTAGCCTGCTGCCTGATTGGGAAATGACTACAGTTTCTTTTAAAAAATTCAGCAAGATAAATTATGTGAACCTGTGTTGATGCTTCTTTGTGGTTGTAGGAGCTGTGTTGATACTTGTAGGCTCACCAGAATCCCAGGCTCCGGTTATTTAGTGCATGTTTCCTTCGTTTTCAGGTGGCTTTAGAGGTGGAAGAGGAGGCGGAGGCTTCAGGGGAGGAAGGGGCGGTGGTGGTTTCAGAGGTGAGTGTGGAAAAAATCTTTAAGTGACTGAATTTCTAGAATTGGCATTGTCTACCACTTTTTTTTTAGTTTTATTTCTTTTTGCCAGCAAGAATAGAGAATACCGTGTGTTCTTTGCTTTAGCCTAATTTATAGCTTCATTTTATATCACTCTTTGCTTTTCCTTTTGAATTTTTCACCTACTTCTAAATTTATTTTGCTGTATTATTAATTTGAAAAATAGAAAGGTAAAGTAGGTTTGCTAAACATTATAAGAGCTAATGCTGATTCTAAACTTGAGATTTGAGGAATAGTGCTATTACAAGTGCATTTTTCTGTAGCTGTAATGCTTTCATTTTCTCTTAATCAGGGAGAGGACATTAAGTGGACAGTTGACAGAGAAACTTCTCAGGCTGACTTCTGCATTAACCTGCACGATCTACTTCTCTGGATCAGAAAGTTGTTTCTGGAGCAAGTCCTGAAGAACTGGTCTTTTTATGACCATGGAACTGAAACATCAGCGTCCTGCAGAAACAAGTGCAACAGAGTAGGCAGTTTTGCTCTAAAAGACCATGAAAAAGTGTTCCGGTGTTTTGTACAACGCTTGGAAGTCTGTGCTTGCTTAATAAATGGACAGTTTTTATTTGAAGCTTATTTGAATTTTTAAAATAAAGTGTTTTATTCCTTTAGCTTATTTAGACCTGTGTTTATTAAACCAGAGCTATTTTTGAAACTAAGAGGAACAGTGAAAGCTTAAACCCAGTGGATTTCAGATAGAAAGAATGATTTGTTTACAAATATCACTGATCTTTAAAATAATAGACTGGTGGAGCAGTACCTTCACATTACTCATAAACCAACACCCCCTTTCAAAATGTTTGCCTTTTGTGTAGGAGAACATCAGCGCCATTTACTGCATTTCCCTTTATGTTAGTTCATAAATCAGAGTTAGTCAAGCAGCTTCTCTAATTGCAATTAATAATTGATTAGATAATTTTACTATTGATTATGAATCTGTTAAAGTTGGAACTGCTTTGTTCAAGTGAGAACTAAAGTTCAAGAAGTTTCTGAAGAAATGTTTAGTGTTTTTCATTCAACGTAGATGGAATGTTGAAAGTTTTACTGAGTGTTCTTATTGTACTTTTTTAAGGGACACTAAAGGTTTAAGATGTTATTCACCATAGATAAATATTTGATTGCCTGCCACATGTTCAGAGTCCTGGGTAGGACATTACCGATGAAGTTGGTGTTGGTCCCCACTGTTAGTGTAGTGCCAGAAGCAGGATTGCAAGATAGAGTACTCAGATATGGGACCACCTCCCCTCACGGTGCTCCTTCTCAGAAGGAGTGATGCTGCCGTATCTTCTCTTGAATTTTCTGACATGCTATCCCTAATGCTTGGTTAACTCTCGATGGCTTGTTTGACTAGGATATAGCGTTGCCTATGTCAGTATTTAGAGTTTTACTTATCTTTTTTGATTTATGGAATTGCAGTAGAATTAATAAATATTTAGGCCATAAATAGACATGATGAACAAATAATGTTGAAAATTACTTTTCCACAGGAAGAAGCCGTTGTGCTCTTAGAACTTGGGAAAGGAGGCTGTTTGCTTTAGGATCCTTGGGTAGAAATTCTCAATGAGACTTAGGGCCAGGGTTTTATTCCTGGTTTGTAGAAGATACTGTGAGCACTCGAGGGGTGGGGGCATTGTCCCAAGGACAAATAGTAGTGCAGCGCTCCTAGGCTTTTTTCACCATTTAAAAAAAATGTCTAAAATGATATAACGAAAGTAATGTGTAGGTTGGTAGACAAGCCACTTAGAGAGTTCACCTTTTACCTTAGCTATTTACCTTAGCTATTTCTCTTGGTCATTGGCCATCTTTAGACTTTTATTTCCCCATCTTATTTTTCCCTTGTGGTAGTTCCTTCTGGGTTTCCTTTGGGGTATTTAGTTTTGAATCAAGTTCACAATCAAGTTTAGGGAGCCTAGCATTAATGAATTTGGTACTGTTGTAGGTATGGAGTTCCACTGAAAAAGATATTTGATAATTAATCATATATTAAATCTTTTGAGTTGTTAACTGAGTAACGTTCTGATTGCTTACATCTTGTTAGAATGCACTTGTTACCATAGCAATTAAACAGTTTAATGGAATACAATCAATATTTCCTGGTACTTCTAAAATTTGGGAACAATTATGAAAGAAGAATTGACTTTAGGCCAATAGAAGTTTATGAAATTAGACAATTGTGAGCTACATAAACTTTACAATATGCTTATATTTGTATTGTAAGCTTTACGCAATATAGCTTTTCTGTATCCCTCATGAAGGAAGCATGAAAAAGTACTTTGAATGCACCTACCACACTCAAAGCTGTAAAACTTTTATCTACACAGATAGCTGGCCATCTTTGGAATTATTTTTCTTCAGTTCTTAGAATTATTTCTAGAAAATTTAAATGGATGCTACAACTAGGTATAATTCATTACAGAAAAGGAAGGGACTATGAACTAAAGCAAACTTAAAAAAATGTTTTATTCTGCATACTGAATGCAAAAAAACAAAAGAAAAAGGAAGACTTCAAACCCCATGATCCGTAGGTTTTTCAAAGGGAGAGTTGCTCTTAGGTCTTAACGTTTGTTGCTTTAGGGTCGTTGGAAAGTATTTTGATGCTGGGATTCTCAAGAGATTGACTTAGATAGATGCTCTTCGGAGTACTACTTTCCGTTTAAGAAAGTTTCTGTACTGGCAGCTATAGGGTCGGGGCAGATCAGCCAACCTGTCTCGCCTTCAGTTATATGTAGCTGAGAGGGTGGAGGCAAAGGATTATCTTGGGTCTCTTCCTGCTATGCCATGGGAGGATTTACAAAATTAAATTAAGTGGGTAAATATAGCCCTCTAGTGGTTCTGTAATATCCTTGCACTGTTGACTTGGGTGCATCTAGCATTTGTTTAAAATTACTGATTTTAAGAAATTTGCTATTGAGAAGAGTTAGACTTTAATAATATTACATGACATAGAGAATATGGGGGGAAAGGTGGTAGGGAAATCTTACTCTAACTATAAATTTTTGTGTTAGATTGTAACCCACTTCGAAGTCTAACAAGATAGTCCAGAATATTAGAATTGCCCTGTACTTCCCAAGATGAAAGAACGAATCCAGATACTTTGCTGGTGTATGCTGTGATTGCTATTATCAGATAATACTCTGGGTATCAAAGTGTAGGGTAAATTACCTGCGGTGGGTTGTGAGGTACATCATGCTCTATTTATGCTGTGAAATATTATGGCTATTAATAGGTTAGACTTAGGTTTATTGACCTGGAATTTATGATATGACTTCAGGGGAAAACAAGTTACAGAATGATTTTATATGTTTTTGCTTAAAAGAAAAAAAAGGGCAATCTCAAACGCTTGTACGAATGTGTGTTTGTCTAAGCAAAGCAAAGCAGAAAGGATCTACACCAAACACTTAGTACCTTTAGGGGAGTGAGATTTGGAAGGATGGCGGCAGACTGCTTCTTTCTGTGTCTCTGTTTATTTAAGTTCTTATGGAAAAAACAAAAGGGACTGAAATGGAAAAACTTGAAAGGGTCAACAGAAAACAGGGACATTAATCTGAGTGGATTTAGAGGACTAAGGCTGGCTCTTACTTTCAGAACTGTTTTCTGGCAGAAATCTCTTAGCTCCCGCGCTGATTTTCTGAGTTGGTTTATTGTTTAAATGGGATGTGCATGCTTGATAATCTCCTTAGATGTGAGACTGATGCCCAAACTGGCTAAAATGGATGGTGCTTGGTATTTCTCTTTATTTTGCTAATAAGCTTTCCCTGTGTTCTGGGAATTAAAATCCTTTCCTCTTTAGCCCAGTTAAATTTGTTAAGGGAGGGCCTCCATGAAAAGGCCCTTCTTTGAGGTCTTTCAGAGGAAATGATTGGTTCTGAAAGTTCTCCCCTCAGTGGCTCTGCAATGTTTCATAATTATTGCAGGCTCATTATGAAGGCTGTCTCAATATCTCCCCTCCAAAATGCTAAGGAATAATTTAGGCAACAGTTCAGACTCTAAAAATGAAGATGGCTCGGTCTTTTCACAGACTGAACACAATATTGTTGCAGCTTACTTGATTATGGCAGGTATGGATGTTTACTTACTCCGCTAACAGTTACTTTGCTTTCGAATGGGTGAAGAATGGCAGAGGTTTTCAGCATAAGGCCATAGGAAAAGCCTGGGTTCAGAGATAAGGTTTCAAGTTCCACGTTGTTGGCCAACTTTGACGAGGCACTTATCCTTTCTGAGTTGAGCTGCCCGTGTGGTAAATAAGGATGATAATCTTTGCTCTATTTCCCAGCTGTAAAGATCAAATAAGAATGTAGGTGGAAGGATAAATGAAAGCATTGTTAATGGTAGTTCATGTCTCAAGTTGTTTTGAATCTCGATAAACAATATAGGAGCAGTGAAGTGGGGCTGAGAACAGTTTTGTATAAAACAAATAACTTATAATCATCCATATATTTGGTTATTACATTGTCATATTAAGTTTTAATTGGGGAAGAGTGTGCACCATGGCCAAAATGTATTTTTATGTTGTTTACTATTCTCATACATGTTTTTCGTGGTTTTGGCTATGGTGGTGGAATCTAGTTGAGGTTGAAAGTCCTGGAAAGAAAATTAAAGTCATGAAAAGGGAGAGCAGAGTGTATTGTCAGTGTGGACAGAGTTTAAATATTCATCTCCTTCCAGAATGCTGGATGGGAAACTCTTGAGCTTTGCATTTCATCTTTTAGTATCTTTGCAACAGGGAACAAGATCAGAGTAAGAATAAGCGACCTGTCACAGTTGTTGTGAGGAGTAAAATTGAATGACACATAAATGCACCTGACACATACAGTAGGTGTTGGACAAATATCTTTTTATTTTTCCCCACATACACTTATTGATGCATATATTGGATCAAGATAAAGCCTTGTTTGCCCCCCAAAAGAGGTAGGGGAAATGACAATAGAAGTTCTCTGATTATCTTTTTTATGTATAGATTGAATTGTGGTGTAAATTTTATACTGAGCAGTCACTTCCTTTCTAACTTTATGCTCAGCGATGAGTTTTAGAAGTAACTCTTTTTGTTATATTGGATTTATTATTTTTTGGATTGACATGAAAATTTTCAACTATATTCAAAAGTAGAGTGAAAAGTAAAACAAATTCTGTACCCAGTTTATTAATTGCTTCGTTTTCTCATAATTCACAATTAGAGTATTCCTGCTAGAAATTGTGATTCCTCAGTTAATTTTTGTAAATTGTAGTGATGTGCTAATTTCTTCATTTGCATACCTCTGTATGATAAGTATTGGACAAGTTCTATTTTCTTATTGGTTGATTTCTGTTGTAACTGAATGAGAAAATAATATGCTACTTAAAGAGAAAATCTCTTTATTACAATTACGTACAAATATTTTGTTTACAAAGTTTTTGTTTAGTTAGACGTTTTATAGATAACCAAGAAAAGCTATCTTGTTTTGATCTGGTTACAAAAGTAGCATGCAAAGAAAATTTCCTGTGAAGAAAGTATTCTCTCTCGGTCTTATCTCTATAACAGGAATAATAATAGTAATCTTATTGTTACTAGTGCTGCTGCTGCTAATGTTATTATTTGAACACTTCGTATGTACCAAGCACTATTCTAAATCCTTAGAC